GCCTATTGTAGTAGTTTTTTTTTTAATGGATGATAATGTAATGGTACGCTACGCTGCCGGTATACGCTAGCGGGGCACCAGTGAGGGATGATAGGTGAGGATGAAAGCAGACCAGTTGGTCCAATGTGATGAATTCAAGAATGTATGATAATGGTTTCCATGAACCCCATGAACATCAATCTGGCAGACTTTGTACAAAAGTCGATTGCTTGGGTACCTCTGTCTCATTCGTGTTTCAACCGTGAAGCAGTTGTTTTTTTTTTTTTTTTTTATACGACTTAGAATGGCAAACAAGCTGACGGCCCACCTGATGGAAAGTGGTAACCGTCACCTATAGACATGAGCAGTACCATGGACATAACAGAGTATACTGTTTCGCCCATGATACCCCCCATGCGTTGCCATTCCTGAGGACTCAGGTGTTATTCCTCTGTACTTTGTAAATTCACGCCATATCCCACCCTTCAAACCGAAACACAGCCATGCAAACACAACTGCTTCACGGTTGAAACACGAATGGGACAGAGGTACCCATGCAATCGACTTTTGTACAAAGTCTCCCTCTGGTATAGTTGTGTTTGCATGGCTGTGTTTCGGTTTGAAGGGTGGGATATGGCGTGAATTTACTGGGTACAGAGGAATAACACCTGAGTCCTCAGGAATGGCAACGCATGGGGGGTATCATGGGCGAAACAGTATACTCTGTTATGTCCCCGGTACTACTCATGTCTATAGGCGACGGGTTACCACTTTCCATCAGGTGGGCCGTCAGCTCGTTTGCCAATCTAAGTTGTATAAAAAAATATATACCCCTATATTGCTAGCAATGGAAAATCCAATTAGTTATACATATATTTACAAGTTGCCGTCTGGTCCAAACATAGAACGTACCACCTTTTCCTGTCCCGTGAATAGTAATAGACAACCAAGGGAATTTAATTCTCCAGTTATGTGGTAATAAAAAAAAAATAGATAGATAGATAATTTATTTGCATCACTTACAGCACACAAACAGCAAAAGACACAAATGTAATGTGAAAAAAGACAAAAAAAAAGATACATTTACAAAAAATAAAAAAAAAATACAAAAACAAAATCAGAATGCATAAAATTAGTAACAATTTTTTTTTCTCTCTGAAAAGAGCAAAACACTGATATTCTGTTGTGGTCAAAGGTGAGCCGCGAAATACCGCTGAAAAAAAAAATAATAAAAAAAAAGAAAAAAATACAGATCAAATACACAGTGTGCGTTCGTTATATTCGCTATTTAGAAAAAGGGTGGTCAGAAGTCAATTTCTATCAATACAACCGACTGCCTTTTTTTAAAGTCGGTTCAGAATGAAGGCGAACAATATACGGTATTAGTACAAAGCACCCAATTCGGGAGCTACATTCATTATTCAATAGGCACGGGGAAAGAGCGATTTGGACAGCCCTGGTGGCGTTGGAATGTTACGGATAAGACGTACGTAGTTTTTTTTTTTTATTTTATACCACTAAGGTGGCAAACAAGCATACGGCCCACCTGATGGTAAGCGGTTACCGTAGCCTATGAAAAACCTCTTTACCCCCCTTTTGAAGAGCCCCATGCTGTAGTCTCTTGGGAAAACGTCGGCAGAGAGCTCATTCCATAACCTGAGTGTTCGTGGGAGGAAACATCTCTGTAGTTCAATGAACTTTTTATTATACAATAAAGGTCGTTATATCAGCCTTTAACTGTCCACTGCTGGACATAAGCCTCCCCCTTGGTTTGCAACGCTTGACAGGTGGATTGGCAACCGCAGTCACGGTTTAGAGTTGTCTTCAAGGGGTCGCTGCTGTCTATCCCCCGTCTTCCCTTGGTCCCCTCTTACGACACCCACGGTAAAGCGAGAGGTGGCTTATTCTATGCCGGAACCACACGGCCAACAAAGCCGACAATAAAGGTACTGTATTTAAAAAATAATTAAACATAATACCGGACGAGGGCGAGTTTATCTCTAAGGGAGATTTCTTCCAGCAAACCCAATATGTTATAAACTGACAGTTTATTCGTTAACTTTATTCTTTGCTACTCCTGAGGGCTCAGGTGTTATTCCTCTGTACCCTGTAAATTCACGCCATAACCCACCCTTCAAACCGAAACACAGCCGTGCAAACACAACTGCTTCACGGTTGAAACACGAATGGGAGAGAGGTACTCAAGCAAACGACTTTTGTACAAAGTCTCCCTCTGGTACAATTAGTCTGTTCAGTTATATGTACGTTTGTTTACATTTTCATTAATTTACCAGACTATACCAGTTTGAACATGGTTCACTGAATCTTCCCATAACTGGTTCAGTGCGAAGTATCCCAAACACCTCATTCAATGTACAACCAAATACTCACACATACGCACACGCACACGCACACGCACACGCACACGCACACGCACATACACACGCACACGCACACGCACACGCACGCACGCACGCACGCACGCACGCACGCACACATAGTCTGTATTTTGTAATTAACTTTGCCTAAGTTATATACTAGAAATAAGTTTGAATGTTAAGTTTATTCTTGCACTCTATATCTTATTATTGTTATCTGTGTATTGTAACACTAATTGGTTGCCTTGTATTTGTGCAGTCCACGGAGATGGGGCACTGGTGACTTGTGACACAGGCTCTTCTAAACCTACCGCAAGCGCCAGTCTCTCACAAAAATGGTCTTCATATCGAATTGTACCTCGAGTTGTCACTTTATTCTACCTTTTGTGAAGGGGAAATAAACCATTCATTCATTCGTTCACTCTGTCATGTCCGCAACACTCTGTCGCGGCAGGGCTGTTCAACTATTAATATTTAATCACTAGAGTATCGCGTGCGAAACGGGATCCTTTATGACTTCTCGCCCGTTCTTATGTTTCGTTATTTGATTTAGCTCCTCAAGAAATGTAACGTACAGATGGACAAATTTAGAAAAAAAAATCAGGTTTAACAAACTATCGATTACGACGACCCCAAATGATTAGAATAAGGGCAGGAAGTTGATGATAAAAAGGGCCAATATTGGTGCCAATACCAATTATCAGATTCAGAAATAAAATGCCTTTATATTCGCTGACGGCCCGCCTGATGGAAAGTGGTAACCGTCGCCTATAGACATGAGCAGTACCGTGGACATAACAGAGTATACTGTTTCGCCCATGATACCCCCCATGCGTTGCCATTCCTGAGGACTCAGGTGTTATTCCTCTGTACCCTGTAAGTTCACGCCATATCCCACCCTTCAAACCGAAACACAGCCATGCAAACACAACTGCTTCACGGTAGAAACATTAATGGGACAGAGATGGCCAAGCAAACGAATTTTTGCCATTTACAAGAAATTTCCGTCCGCGAACATTCATATTGTAAAACGAACCCCCTGTCAAGGTTTTCCCTAAAGACCACAGCATGGGGGTCTTCGAAAAGGGCGTAATAAGGTTTCCCATGGGACAACATCGTACATATCACGTCTTTCGGCATAGAGTAACTCTGTCCTACCAATAGTTCGAAGTCGTAATCAATTCTACAAATGCATTGAATCCCAAATTGTCATGTTCGGAATATGCCGAAGATTGCATTGGTTACTGGGTCAATTTTCAAGAGAGTGTATCCATGAATATTAACAAAATATTGCAAAAATGCTTTTTTAATATTTATTTTTATAGCATAATTTATCACCACACCTAGAACACAATTTTTATTTATACGACTTAAAATGGCAAACAAGCTGACGGCCCACCTGATGGAAAGTGGTAACCGTCGCCTATAGACATGAGCAGTACCGTGGATATAACAGAGTATACTGTTACGCCCATGATACTTCCCCAGGCGTTGCCATTCCTGAGGACTCAGGTGTTATTGCTCTGTACCCAGTGAATTCACGCCATAACCCGCCCTTCAAACCGAAACACAGCCATGCGAACACAACTGCTTCACGGTTGAAACAAGAATGGGACAGAGGTGGCCGAGCAAACGACTTTTGTACAAAGTCTCTCTCAGCTAAACCTTTTCTACGAAATGTCCCTCCGGTACCGCTCTCTGTCTCGTCCACAGTACTCTACTGCGCCAGGGCTATTCGTCTATTAATATTTAACCATCGAATAGCTATCGCGTGCAAAACGTCATACTTTACGACTTTTCGCCCATTCCACTGTTTTATTATGCGCCTAATCTTCTCGCCCCGGCTCGCCCGTCCCCTGGGGGGTGTTTTAAAACATACTAGCACGTGCACGCGACTTTGTTCGCCTCGATTTTGGAATTAAGAAAACCAAATTAAATTTACACTAGAGGAAAAAATTATACTCTGAACTATTTACATTATTTTTATTATACACACACCGCACAGACAATCACCCAAAATATTGCCCTTTTTATTTTATATTTATTTTAATTATTATTTTCACGTACCCTCAAATGGGTTAAAGCTGAAAACCAGTGTTTTGTTCCTTGAACAATGTTACACGCTGAGCTTCGACCTTTTTGTATTGCTGCAGAACACACATAATAAGACAATTTTATAAATCTTATGTTGTTTTATGTATTATCTATTCTTATGTACATGTTGTGTGTGATTAGTAACAAACAAATAAACGATATATCTATCTATCTATCTATCTATCTAAGGGATCAGAAAAAAAATGCCATATTTTTTGAGGCTTTTCAATTAGCTGTATTTTCTTTAAAAATGGTCGTATTGGAATTAAAAAAATGGATTTTAAAGCTCAAAGTTTCTAGTTTTGAGTTCTAAATGATAAAAAAAATTTTTAAGCAACGTGTTCTTCTCAATCCTAATGATTACCGAAACGAAAATTTTTTCAAAATTTTTTGGGTCTTTTTTTGGGTCTACGAATTTGGAAAAAAAATTCTAACTTAACCACTATATGGATCGGATAATTGGCGGCCCAGTATATACTGTGCCGTCCATGATACTGCGTATACCATTCCTCGTCGGGTGTTTTGTAAGTAATTGTGTATTATGTGCAGGGATTTGAGCCGTAACGAGCTGACGGCCATCAGCCGACGCACCTTCCGCGGTCTGACGGCCCTCAAGAGTCTCCATCTAGATGGGAACCAGCTCAAGTGTGTGGACGAGAAGGCCCTGGAACACCTCAAGAGTCTAGAAGTATTGTAAGTTTCCATATATTTTTTATAAATAATAATAAATGGCAAACTATCAAACAAACTCTGTGTGGTCCCGCCATAGAATGGACCACCCCTTCCTTTCCCGTGGGTGTCGTGAGAGACGACTAAAGAACTGTAATGGTCGAAATATGGGCAACAGCGTTCCTCTCAAAACGCCACTAAAGCCTAACTGTGGTTGCCAACCCTCCTGCTAAATATAGCAACTACTGACAACCCAATCAGGGCGGGAAAGGTTTGTTAGTAATGCGAACTATCAGTCCCATTGCTAGCAATATGCTCTATAAGGTCGACCTCCACGTGGTCCCCCCTAGATACCAATTGGCCGGCAGCACACCTGCAATGCCGCTGGTGTTGTGGGTGATCATGGGCGGCATTAGTCACTTACCATCAGGTGAGCCGCATGCTTGTTTGCCTCCTGTGTTGTAAAAAAAATCGTGAAGAATTCAATAAGAATTAACCATGATGGATTTCAAGATCGCCCTGATAAGACAGGGTATTTACTAGCAAGGGACTGCTTGTCCAGTGTCTAACTATTCCGGCCCCATACTAGTGCGAGTTATGCCCATTTTTGGAAATTTCTGAAAATCCCTCTTCATTGAGCCAATTGTGAATATATGTATCTATGTATTTGTTATGTATGTGTATATGTATGTATATATATGTGTGTAAGTTTTTATTTATTTATATATTAATGTAATGCGTCAGGGATGTTCTTCTCTAGAAATCTGTCCGACTCTAGAATGAGGGCATACGGGTATGCGACCCCGGCCTCCCGAGCCGCTGCAGTGTCCCAGTCCTTTCCGCAACTGCAGTGTCCCCCCCTTTCCTTTCCCACATAAGTCCCTTATTCCCCTCATTCACCAATTTCCTCTACGCATTTCCAACGTTTCCTTCCTTTTTTCCTCAATCCTTTCCTCCATACCGTAGGTGGCGGAAACCACCAACAAATGCATTCCCAAAGAGGGTTGACGTCAGACAGGGGGCCGGTCGTAAAACTAAAAACCAAATCTTTTTGTATTATGGATAAAATCATATTACGCCGACCACAAATGATTGGGATAAGGGTAGGAAGATGATGATATATTAATGTTATATTATTATTCATGCACTTTTATTATTTACATATGTAGGTATATAGAGCTGTTTTTATTGTATTATATATAATTTTTTTTACTGGGTATTATTTACCTTTACTTTAATTGTTTTACCTTTAACTGTACGGTTATTACCCTTATATTTTTTACATTCTACAGTTTCCTTTCAGCTTCTCAAAGGTCGACTGTAAGTGATCCCTTTACGGGATAAGTCCGCCATTGTATATTAAATCGGTGCTTAATTTGAATTGTGTACAATATAGATTTTACAATACAATACAATATCCATTTTCAGGACATTGACGAATAATAATCTCACGTACCTCTCCCTGGAGCCGGTGGCGGTGACTCGTCTCCATACACTGCGTCTAACAGACAACCCAATCGTGTGCGACTGCCGGGTCGCGCGCCTGGCGACCGCCGTGCGCGCTGCCAACTTACTGGGCGTCGGGGCGAAGTAAGTATTTACATTGGTATTTTAAGTTATAATAAGCTAGTGGCCCGTACCGGCTTTGCACGGGTAGGTAGACATTTTTGCAACATTTTAAAAAGTGGTTATTGTGACATAACGATAATAGTTGGACATATAGTGTCGCGGAGTTTTTTGTAGTTGTCGATATTTTCTTCAATATTGTAGAACATACTTTTGTTCTATCACCAATAGTTTCCGCAGCGCACGCGACCAAAGATATTTTTTAGCATTTTTTTACACCTTCAGTTACGTTACTAAAGTTTTAGTAAGGATCCCTAATCTTTTCTAGCAATAAATATAGTCTATGTTACTCAGGGTGAATGTAGCTTACTAATGGTGAAAGAATTTTTGAAATCGGCAAAGTAGTTTTGAGTTTATTCATTACAAACATACATACACACAAAAATACAAATCTTTCCTCTTAATAATATTAGTGCATTAGTTGAAATTAGAATAAAAATATACATATAAAAAAATTAATGTAGCAGTGTTTGTGCAAAGGACCTAACTCAGCATAAATCAGTTCAGGGTACAATAGGACTGATATACCTGAAGAAGGTAAAAGCCCTTAAAATATTAAAAAAAAAAGCATATGTCTCAGTTTCACCAGGGGGAGACTTTGTACAAAAGTCGTTTGGTTGGCCACCTCTGTCACATTCGTGTTTCTACCGTGAAGCAGTTGTGTCGCATGGCTGTGTTTCGGTTTGAGGGGCGGGATATGGCGTGAATTTACTGGGTACAGAGGAATAACACCTGAGTCCTCAGGAATGGCAACGCATGGGGAGGTATCATTGGCTGAAACAGTATACACTGTTATGTCCATTGTACTGCTCATGTCTATATGCGACGGTTACCACTTTCCATCAGGTGGACCGTCAGCTTGTTTGCGATTCTAAGTTGTATAAAAAAACTTTCATATCTGATGGTACAATGCTGATTTTCTGTATGCTTTAAATACGTGACTCATTGATACGATACCGTGATAATTACAGATGTCAGGCACCGGCGACGTTGCGCGGTGCTCTATTGACAGAGTTAGATCATGAACAGTTCTGCAGCGGTGAGTTACAAATGCTTTACAAATCACAAATCCGGCCCCATATGGATTATTGCTGTCACTTATAGGCGGGAGCACCTATATACCAGCTTGAACCTTTCGACACTTCAGCACGATGGTTTCCAGGGGGAACCACGTGGAGGTCGACGTGTAAGGATATATTGTTAGCAATGGGGCTGGTAATCCGCTTTACTAACAATCCCCCCCCCCCCACTAGTTGGAGTAACGACCTCAAATGCATTGCAGGGAGTCAGTGGCTGCAGGTGGCTCGGGACCGTTCCTTATGGCAGTCTATGGGGAAGCCTATGTCCAGCAGTGGACGGATAATGGCTGGAATGGAAATGATGCTAAGTTCAAATTTCAATCGTCTTTATTCAAATACATTTGTTTACAAGCATTTTTAAGTCGTCATTTCTTCTAATCTACTGCAGGCTTCGGAAGGTTGTCATCTGTTGTGAAGAGCCCGCGAGAAACTCAACAGTTACTGTTTTAAATCTCTGTTAACATTATGTGTGTTTATTTAAATGTACTATATCTAATATTACATGGTCGTTGGCAGCCCGCGCATGATCCACTAACACCGTGCACGCTTCTCATTCAAGTAATCGTTTAGTGCGTAACAGGCTTTGTTCAATAAGTGTTTTTAATTTCAGATAATTAAAATAATTAAAGCGGCCTAGGATAATTACTTAGTAAAGTATTGTACAGATAATATCCTAGGCCGCTCTCGCCTATTATTCTCTAATATTCATTTGTTCCGTGTGGGCCCGGCATAGAATAGACCGCCCCTTCATTTCTCACAGGTGTCGTAAAAGGCGACTAAGGGAGGGCGAGGGATGGGCAGCAGCGTCCCTCTTAAAACATCTCCAAAGCCTAACTGCGGTTGCCAACCCGCCTGCCAAGCGTTTTGGTAAAACCCCCGAATGGGGGGGGGGGGGGGGGATTATGTTCAACAATGAAGTAATAATAGCTCATATGAGAATGATTGATAAGAAAAAAAAAAACAATACTTTAATTCACACGAGCGAAACCGCAGGTAATAGTTAGTATATTACGGTTGCCAGGTCCGACGACGGCCATCGCGGGCGAGTGCTCGGCGGAGCCCCGCTGCCCGCCGCCGTGCCGCTGCACACCCGAGGGCACGGTCGACTGCAGGGAGAAACTCCTCTCGGAACTGCCCGCTGCTATACCCCACCGGGCCACTGAGATGTAAGTATTTACCGGGTACAGAGGAATAACACCTGAGTCCTCAGGAATGGCAACGCGTGAGTAGTATCATGGGCGAAACAGTATACTCTGTTATGTCCATGCTACTGCTCATGTCTATAGGCGACGGTTATCACTTTCCATCAGGTGGGCCGTCAGCTTGTTTGCCATTCTAAGTTGTACAAAAAAAAAATGTGTAAGTATCCACCAGAACTGCCGCCACCAGATGGAGACGTTGTGCAATTCTTTCCTCTTCAACCATCCAATTTTTTTTACGTTTTTATTATGTAGACACGTTTTTATTAAGATTGCTTATAAAAAAATAAACAAAACAAAGCAAAAAATGATAGAACAGCTGGCGTTCGGTATTTTTTTTTTATGACGGATAATGATAGAATAAACTGCCCCCTGCCTGCGGGGAGAAAGGGATTGTTAGTAATGGAGACTGTGAATCCCATTGCTAGCAATATACCCAACTAGGTCGACCTACTCGCGGTTCTCCCTGGAAACTATCATGGTTAATTCTAGATGAATTCGTCATGATGTGCTAACTGGCCTGTTTCCATTCTCATCTATCACCCTTCACTGGTGCTCCGCCGGCGTATCCCGTAAGCGCAGGCGGGGTTACCATACCATTGTCATCCAATAAAAAAAATACGCCTAGAATTCAGCATGATGGGTTGCAGGGGGGGGGGGGGCTGGACTCTGGCTCTCCATTACTAACAATCCCTTCCCCCCAGCGCAGGTGGGATTACCATACCATTTTCACCCATCAAAAAAAAACCGCTTGCGATATCGGTACACACTGGCGGGACTCTAGTAAGGGATGATAGGTGAGGATGAAAGCAGGTCAGTTGGTACATCGTGATGAATTTCACGACCCACACGTTGAAAGACACTGGTCGATATGAACCTTGCAAAGTTAATATTTATTTATTTATTTATTTAACTCTTTATTGCACCATAAATTTTGTTTATTTACATACATGGACAAGTGAGTAATTCAAGTGAAATACAGTAACATAAATACAGATTGAAGTATACACATAAAGGTATAAAAGGCGGTCTTATCGCTAGGGCGATCTCTTACAGACAACCTTTGTTTAAAGGAGAACAGATAGAAGTGGGCAGGTGGCGCAAGAGGGAATTAATATTTTTTCCGTGCATAAAATACAAAAACCTGTAATGCACAAAAAAAAATATCAAAAACATTTTTTTATACAACTTAGAATGGCAAACAAGCTGACGGCCCACCTGATGGAAAGTGGTAACCGTCGCCTATAGACATGAGCAGTACCATGGACATAACAGAGTATACTGTTTCGCCCATGATACCCCCCATGCGTTGCCATTCCTGAGGACTCAGGTGTTATTCCTCTGTACCCTGTAAATTCACGCCATATCCCAACCTTTAAACCGAAACACAGCCATGCAAACACAACTGCTTCACGGTTGAAACACGAATGGGACAGAGGTTGTCAAGCAAACGACTTTTGTACAAAATCTCCCTCTGGTATATATATAATTTATTATACTACTTACTATAACAATATATTATCTAATCTATTTCTCTCTTTCCAGCCGTCTAGAACAGAACGAGATAACCGACGTGGGTCCCGCTGCGTTCTCGGCCGTCAAGCGTGTGGCACGCATCGACATATCCAACAATAAAATTACCAAAATAGCGGCCGACGCGTTCACGGGGCTCACGCATCTCACGTCACTGTGAGTACATCATATAGTAAATCCAAAACCTTCCTCGAGGACCACTCTATTCATTGATGAACACAGCATCGAAATCGGTGCAGTAGTTTTTGAGTTTATTGCGAACAGACAGACGCGGCGGAGGATTTTGTTTTATAATATGTAGCTGACTCGGCAAACGTTGTTTTACCATATACATTATTTCTAGAACTATACATGATAATTTATCGTACTACAATTATTATATTGGATTGCCATCTTGCAACCCTATTGCGGAATATAAAAATCGCCATTAAAAAACAGGGGGTTGATCGTAAAAGCGTGAAAATTTGTTTTTGTATGTATTTTTCAATGCTAAATCATAATAAAATAAAAATAAAAAAATTGCCCAAAAATTAAAAAATATATTTACGGGTGGGTCACCCTTATCATTGAGGGGTATGAAAAATAGATGTTGGCCGATTCTCAGACCTACCCGATATGCACACGAAATTTCATAAAAATCGGTAAAGCCGTTTCGGATGAGTTTAGTAACAAACACCGCGACACGAGAATTTTATATATTAGATATATATATATATATATATATATATATATATATATATATATATATATATATATCTCACTACATAATACATTCCTACATATATATTCCTTGGTTATTAGATACATACATAAATACAAATATGTGTATTACGCAGGAATCGAACCGGCGACCATTGTACGACATTTCATTACGATGTAATTATTTCAGAGTATTGTACGGGAACAAAATCAAGGACTTACCATCTGGAATCTTCCACGGGCTGACGTCTCTACAGCTGCTGTAAGCAACTTGTTTATCTTTTACCAGAGGGAGACTTTGTACAAAAGTCGATTGCTTGACCACCTCTGTCCCATTCGTGTTTCTACCGTGAAGCAGTTGTGTTTGCATGGCTGTGTTTCGGTTTGAAGGGTGGGATATGGCGTGAATTTACTGAGTACAGAGCAATAACACCTGAGTCCTCAGGAATGGCAACGCATGGGGGGTATCATGGGCGAAACAGTATACTCTGTTATGTCCATGGTACTGTTCATGTCTATAGGCGACGGTTACCACTTTCCATCAAGTTGGCCGTCAGCTTGTTTGCCGTTCTAAGTTGTATAAAAAAAAAAACTTAGAATGGCAAACAAACCGATGGCAATTTTTCAACAATTCATATTGTTTTTTTTTAATGGGTGATGATGGTATGGTAATCCCGTCTGCGCTATCGGTATACGCTGGCGGGGCACCAGTGAGGCATGATAGGTGAGGATGAAAAGGCAGGTCAGTTAGCCCATTGTGACGAATTCCACTAGAATTAACCACTATAATTTCCAGGGGGAACCGCGTGGAGGTCGACCTGATAAGGTGTATTGCTAATAATGAGGAAATTAGATCCCATTACTAACAATATTTTCCCCCCATATTGTCTGAAATTACATGTAATATAATGCATTTATAAATGTGAGCAAGGGTGGTCTTATCTCTGACAGAGATCTCTTCCAGTCAACCCGATACAGTTGGAAAGCATGTCGTTAGCGGGCAGCTGGAGTGCTACAACTATTAATACATAAACAAATATACAGTTAAATAAAATAACCAAATATATAATAAAATATTGTAGTATCACATCTCCATATTTAGAAATAACAGAATTTTTCATCGTGCCACCCACCAAACTGTTTATAATTACTCCTCTCCATCCAAAGGTTGGCTGCAAGAGATCGCTCTCAGCGATAAGGTCGCCCATTGTTGTCTCACTGTGATCATTTCTTGTAATTGTTTGTATCTATAATAAGTTTACTATTGTAATCTTATGAAGGGAACAATAGAGAGTATCTATCTATGTATCTATTTATATTTTTTATTTCAGATTACTAAATTCTAACGAAATAACTTGCGTGAGGAAGGACACGTTCAGAGATTTGCAGAACTTGAAGTTGTTGTAAGTATTTGTTACCGTAAATATACCCTAGATCGGTGTTTCCCAACGTTGGGCGCACGCCCCACAGGGGGCAATTTTATAGTTAAGAGGGAGCAATAAAAAAATGGACTCGAAGCGATTTTAACCCTCTTGCTCCGGGCCATTTAAATGCAATGCTACGAATAGATATCGGCGCCAAATTTAACAAAAAAAAAAGTAAATTAAAAAAAATGCTGTAAATATTTATTAGGTATAATTTCGTTTGACGTTACCAAAATATCAACTGGGCGATTAGACGAATTCAACAAGAATTGTTCAAGATGTTTTCCAGGGCGACTAAGTTATATTGCTTGCAATGGGACTGTCAAACTCCATTGCTAACAATCCCTTTCCCTCCTGCGTGTATGGTTATAAAAGTGTAGGAAGCAAGATGTGTATATAAGTGTATAAAGATAATGGGATTTGGCACCCCATCCTCTCTGCCTATCCCGCTAGGAACTTGGCGTGGTAATAGGAAATATAATATAGTTTTTATTTTCAGATCTCTTTATGACAACAATATAAGATCTATCCCGAATGGAACGTTCGACTCGCTCACCGGAATACAGACTCTGTGAGTACCGATATTGCTGTCCATACTGGGGAATCTACACTAATATTATAAAGAGGAAAGATTTGTATTTTCGCGTGTATGTATGTTTGTAATGAATAAACTCAAAAACTACTTTGTCGATTTCAAAAATTCTTTCACCATTAGTAAGCTACATTCACCCTGAGTAACATAGGCTATATTTATTGCTAGAAAAGATTAGGGATCCTTACTAAAACTTTAGTAACGTAACTCAAGGTGTAAAAAAATGCTATAAAATATCTTTGGTCGCGTGCGCTGCGGAAACTATTGGTGATAGAACAAAAGTATGTTCTACAGTATTGAAGGAAATATCAATAACTACAAAAAACTTCCAGACACTATATGTCCAACTATTATCGTTATGTCACAATAATCACTTTTTGAAATGTTATAAAAATGTCCACCCGTGCGAAGCCGGGACGGACCGCTAGTTTGATAATAATAATAATAGAAATATCTCGCCATTTTTTTTTTACAAATATGGTACAATAATTATAATATACATATATTAATAAATACATCGTGGAGTAAATACCAGAGGGAGACTTTGTACAAAAGTCGATTGCTTGAGCACCTCTGTCGCATTCGTGTTTCAACCGTAAAGCAGTTGTGTTTGCATGGCTGTGTTTCGGTTTGAAGGGTGGGATATGGCGTGAATTTACTGGGTACAGAGGAATAACACCTGAGTTAACCTCAGGAATGGCAACGCATGCGGGGTATCAAGGGCGAAACAGTATACTCTGTTATGTCCATGGTACTGCTCATGTCTATAGGCGGTTGCCAACCCGCCAGCCAAGCGTGGCAACTACTAGCAAAATGCCCCAAGGGACTTATGTCCAGCAGTGGACAGTAAAAGCTGATAATAATGATAAAGAACCTGGGCATTTTATATTATTTCCAAAAATCCTATCCAGTTAATAAATAATGTAAAAAAAAACTCCATGGTGGTGCCCCGTAGACACCTGGGCCACAACCCGTTCGCGTGCGACTGCTCTCTCCGATGGCTGGCCGCGTACCTACGCAAGAACCCCATAGAAACATCTGGAGCCAAGTGCGATTCGCCGAAAAGGATGAGCAGGAAGCGGATTGACGCACTCAGAGAGGACTACTTCAAATGCAAACGTGAGTATTTTAGAATTCCAGACTTACTTCATAATTAAACTGCACCAGAGGGAGACTTTGTACAAAAGTCGTTTTGCTTGACCACCTCTGTCCCATTCGTGTTTCAACCGTGAAGCAGTTGTGTTTGCATGGCTGTGTTTCGGTTTGAAGGGTGGGATAAGGTAGTGAATTTACTGGGTACAGAGGAATAACACCTGAGTCCTCAGAAATGGCAACGCAGGATGAATTTAATAAGTGAAACAGTATACTCTGTTATGTCCACGGTACTGCTCGTGTCTATAGGCGACGGTTACCAATTTCCATCGGGTGGGCCGTCAGCTTGTTTGCCATTTTAAGTTCCATAAAGAAAATTACAATAATTTTAAACTTAAACAAAGATCTACTCGGTATGGTAGCTTACTCGCAATTAGCACATAAAATGATGATGGCCAACCATCCATGAGCTAAACTGTGGCAGGGGGAGTGACGTAGCCGCTTGGCAATTGTTGGCTTGGCTGGCGTTGCTAATCAACCTCTTAATAGATGATAATGGAATGGTAACCCTGCCTGCGCTATCGGTATACGCTGGTGGGATACCAGTGAAGGATGATAGGTGAGAATGAAAAGGCAAGTCAGTTAACCCATCGTGGTGAATGCACTTGGAATTCAGCACGATGGTCTCTAGGGAGGACCACGTGGAAGTCAACCTGACAAGGTATATTGCTAGCAATGGGACTGGTAGTCCGCATTACTAACAATCCCTCCCCCCCCCCCCTTACTAATCAGCTGATGTGTGTTTGGTAACAATTTATTTAATCCAGTTGCAAGGACACCACAATTTAATATTACATCGAAATATTTATTGTAAAGATAAACTAATTTCTCAAACATGCTTGGAAATGTGAGCATTATTTTGACAATCTTCTTAGAGATAAATCAAAATTGCCGTACTGGCCAGATACATGCGGGCAGCGGCCGGCAAAAGTTGTATGAAAATCCATATCTGTCGTGTTTTGCGGCCAGATAAATTACTATGTAAACTCATATCTGTCCTGTAATTTAAAAATGGAATGATCTTTTACTTCGAAACATGGCTACCAAGGAGGTAACTAATAAAAAGCTGTCTTGTAAATAGAAAGTTGTTTATTGAAAAAAAAAACAAAGGAACATTATGGCGCGTGAAAAATTATTATTGTTCGTTATTCGTCATTGAACTTAAAAAGTAAAATTGTGTTTTTGATTTCCGCGCATTGTTTGAGAAAAGTACTATACAAGCCTTGGCCACAACTAGGCATTGATGGACTCATATATGTGTGCCTCGGCTACGCCTCGGCCCACATTTGCACGTTCGTCCATCAATGCCTCAGTTGCTGGCCGCTGCAGTAATGTACTACTTTTCTAATATATCTAAGTCAAAATAAATATAATTTTAGATTTTAATTGTTCATTAAACAGTAATTTCTCATAACTATCAAATTAATATAATAAGTCAAGAAATAATTTTGTAATCCAGTAGAATTTCGATTATCCGAATATTCGATTATCCGGACTTATTCTTCACGTCTCCAATAATCGATTTAGAAATGGTATTATGGTATTAATTGGGTAAACAAGTATTATGTAATCCATTATCTTTATAGCTCGTAATTTTTTTTTATAACGTTTTGTCTAAATAACGTAAGTAAAACCCTTCACATGACGAAACAATATTAAAATTTAATTATAATTCGATTTGACTCTGAAATCGATTATCCGGATTTTCGATTATACGGACTTTCGATTATAGGGAAAACCTCTTGGATCAAGATTCTACTGTAGTATATGTATAAATAATTAAGAGAAATGGCGTCTTGGATTCGATGCCATCGTCTACGATAACATGGCACGCCCCTCCATATTCCAAACAATTAGAAATGTGCTAGTAAAAATATTGACAAGGGTTCGACCGAGAAGTATAACGATCCTGAGGTCGGACCGCTGCTTGGACTTGTCCTCTAGACACAGACGGGGCACCACGCTTGTAGTTAGAAGTTGGAGGGTTGTGCCGTGTTACCAGAGACGATCTATAGCTGTGTATGTGTGCGCGTGCAGCGGGCGAGGAGTGGGATAACGCATGCGCGGCGGGCGGCGCGTGCCCGGCGGCGTGCGCGTGCGAGTACGCGCCGCGCGCCGTGTCCGTGAGCTGCGCACGCGCCGCGCTCGCCGACATCCCGCGCGACCTGCCGCTCACCACCGACGCGCTGTGAGTACCAGCACCACTGTAATACTAGCCACGACGGCGTGGAGGAAGGGATTGTTTGTAATGGAGAGGTTAGTCTCCCATCGCGTCCCAGAGGTCGACCTGATAGGTCGACCTCTACGCGGTTCCCCCTGGAAACTATCGTGACTGATTTATCGTTTCACCCTTGCCCTATAGCTTCTATCGAGTCAATCTCCTAATCTTGTAAATGATAATAACTGTACTTGTTAACTGTTGTTTTTTTATTTTATTTTATTTAATTATTTATTTTATTTATTTAAGGCAAACAAACAGCTAAAATAATACATAATTATATGCTTAAATAGTAATTTGGTAGCCACTAGAATTTGCACATAATAAAATACAAGTAAACGAAACACAAAATTAGACAATACTATAATAAAACAAATATAAACAAAATTAAACAAACAAATACTATTGAAAACCACAGCATTTATAAATATAAGTCCTAGTTTAATTTGTCAAGTTACTCTCAAGAGTTACCATGTCTATCGATCATTTTCTGTGATATAAACATGCTATTTGCCTTGGCATCTATCATCCTTCAGCAAACAGAAATGCCGTTCTATTTACACCATAAAAAATCCCATTACAGTTACCATGCATGTTAGTATATTTTTTTTGTACAAATTTTCATTTTTATCTTATAAATTCAAATATTTTTCCTAGTATAATGCCAGACAACAATTTGGGCCAGATCAAGTCCGACGGTCTATTCGGTAGACTGCCGGACCTGACCAAACTGGACTTCAGGAACAACGGTGAGTATTCTGAACGCTTTGTATAAACTATACTGTCCCGGTATAAAATGGGCCACCCCTTCTAATCGTGTAGGTGTGGTAAGAGGCGACTAAGGGAAGGGAACTTAATGGCCAAGGGATGACCAGCAGCGTCCCTCTTACTTTTAAAAGTCTAAAAGCAGTTACCGACCCGCCTGCCGAACGTGGTAACTGCTGGCAAACCCCCTTATGGGGGAGGCCTATGTTCAGCAGTGGGCATTTAACGGCTGACATGAAAAAAAAATTGATGGTAAGCAGGTAATGTGGTCCAAAATGAGGGTCGCCATCACAACATCAATCATAATAATATTTTTTTCCGCGCGCAGGCATAACTGTGATAGAGGACAACGCGTTCGACGGCGCCGCCAACATACAAGAGTTGCTGTTGGACGGCAACCAGCTCCAGACCGTCACCGACAAGATGTTCTTCGGTCTGCACAGCCTTAGTATACTGTGAGTATAGGGCATAGCTTGAACGCTTGTTAAGGGGCCGCCCGAAAAACAGCGCTATATACCCGTAGGTACATCTCACTGAAGATGTGGAATGTATTATTAAAAAAAAAATTATGCAACTGACAATGGCAAATAAGCTGACGGCCCACCTAATAGAAAGCGGTAACCGTCGCCTATAGATATGAGCAGTATCATGGACATAACAGAGTATACTGTTTCGTTCATGATACCCCTCCATGCGTTGCCATTCCTGAGGACTCAGGTGGTATTCCTCTGTAAATTCCCAGTAAATTCACGCCATATTCCACCCTTCAAACCGAAACACAGCCATGCAAACACAACTGCTTCACGGCAGAAACACGAATGGGACAGAGGTGGCCAAGCAGACGACTTTTGTACGAACTCTCCCTAATGATGATGATGACCCGTGCGGAACCAGGCCTGATCACTAGTCTGATATAAACCTGTATTTACAGATCGCTTACAAACAACAAGATCCGTTGCATCACTCCTGGCGCATTCGACCACCTCACCATGCTGTCCACTCTGTAAGTATTATATTTGGAAGTCCAGAAGTGATTCTTAATTCATCTAGATCAGGACTGATCCACTTGACTAGACCCAAGATCTACCGTTTACTGACGAAACCCTGTGCGATCCACCAAATACATCATACTTCTTGAAATCACAAATGAAACGACACAGTTCAGTACACGAGCGTGTAGTGTTGCAGTATTGTTTATTGTATTAAGAGGGAGAACGTAAAGCTGAAACTGCTTCTCAGCGACTACTTGTTTATATTAGTGCGAGCGTCGCGTCCGAGCATCCTCCGCTGGATTAGCGATATATTATATTGTTCGCCTTGACACGATCGACTTTTTTTTATGGGTGAAAATGGCATGATACCCCCCTGCGCTATCGATATACATTGGTGGTGCACCAGTGAGAGGTGATAGGTGAGAATGGAAAGGTAGGTCAGTTAGCCTATTATGAAGAATTCGATGAAAAATTATTCACGATAGTTTCCAGGGGGAACCTGATACGATCCACTGGACTAATAGTCCGGTTGGCCACCCCTGGTCTAGATAATAGCCATTGGGATCTTTAGAAGGAGGGAGGAGGAGGGGGGGGCTGGATAAGAAACTAGAGACTACTACAGAATAGTCTGGTCTCCATTCCAGGATAAATTCACAAAGACATGTCTGAGAGTACATATGAGTATATGCCTGTTTCAAAGGACACAGGTCCCCTTGGAGAAAGGTCTTAAAATACGCCAATGATAATATGGATACCGCTCCGATATCTTTTTTTTTTATACCACTTAGTACATACCTAAATTAACTGCTCCTCTCCATCCAAAGGTTGGCTGTAAGAGATCGCTCTTAGCGATAAGGCCGCCTATTGTTTTCTCACTGTGATCATTTCTTGTAATTGTTTGTATCTATAATAAATTTACTATTGTAATCTTATGGAGGAAACAATATATCTATCTATCTAAATCCGAAATTTTCTATGTAGCAACTTGGAATCGAACTCGCTTGAGTGCACGTGTCACCTGGCATGGTTGTCGACGTGGTTGCGCGAGCGAGGGCTGTCCCCGGCCGCGACGTGCCGCTCCCCGCCAGCATTGCTTAACGCAGAACTTCACCAGTTAGATGTCGCTGCGTTCAAATGCACACGTGAGTTCTGAAGCTAATCCTCAGGAATACCAGTCCTTGTGGGCCACTGCTACTTTCATCTTACTAGCTTGTATTTTAATATTGTTAAGTTGTACCCTGAAGTAAGCTTGTTTTTTTTTAATTCTGCTAATGAGAATTGTATTTTATATACTTGGTTAGAACCCCAAATAGTATCTTTAAGTACACCTTGTTTATTATCAAAAATTAAGTCAATAACAACAAAATGTTCAATACTTTAAAAATAGGGCCTAAAATTGGCCCTTGAGGTACTACTTCATTTTTTTTTTTTAAATAATAGCCTAGCATCGTGGAACTACCTATCTAATAGATATATACGTACTCTGTCTACTCTGTCGGAGTAGATAGTTCTGAGAGATCAATCGCTCAGTACATAAGAGCCGCACATTGCAGCGGAGGACGTGGGCTGCCTGTCGCGCGACTACTGCCCGGCGGCGTGCTCGTGCGCCGGCACCGTCGTGCGGTGCGCGCGCGCGCGGCTGCAGGCCCTGCCGCCCGCCCTGCCGCGACACACCTCCGAGCTGTAAGTACATTTACTTCTTCCTGGGCCCATAACTCGTTTGTCTCTACCCTGTTTCTGGGTCCATAACGTATTTGTCAAAATCTAATGTCTCTGTAATTTCTCCGCTAGCTACCTCGAATCGAACGAGATCACGTCCATCTCTTCCGAGCAGATTCGCCACCTCACTCAGCTGACGAGACTAGACCTCTCCAACAATAAGATCAGCGTGCTCTCCAACAACACCTTCGAAGGTCTCACCAAGCTGTCCACGCTCATAGTCAGCTACAACAATCTGAGATGTGTTCAGGTAAATAGTCAATTTTAAGTCGCTTTCTACTAAAAAGATTTTTAAAAAGGGTGAAAAAAAAATTTAAATACGCACAGAAAGCAACTAAAAAAAAACATATTCTTTATATAGTGACGGCACACACAGACATTTCACCAGATTGTAATGATGCCGATTCCATGAGTACTCGGGAGCTCCAGTACCCACGAGAGGTACATAACGCTAACATCATAGTCCAGCAAGCAGTATACGTCTTTCAGCTGAAATAATGATGATACACCTAATTTTTAAAAAGAGCATAAGCACCACATGAGGTTTTTAGAAGCTTGCGGTATCCATATTAATCATACCTAACGGTTACCGCTTTCTATCAGATGGGCCAATTTACAGGGTACAGAGGAATAACACCTTAGTCCTCAGGAATGGCAACGTATGGGGGGTCCATGCGTTGCCATTCCTGAGGACTCAGGTGTTATTCCTCTGTACCCTGTAAATTCACGCCATATCCCACCCTTCAAACCGAAACACAGCCATGCAAACAACTGCTTCAAGGTAGAAACACGAATAGGACAGGTACAGAGCAAACGACTCCCTCTAGTACAAAATCTCCCTCTAGTAAATTAAACATAATTAACAGATGAATTATTCAAACAAAATGACTTACACTTGGCTGTGACTGTCAGTTATGCGGCAGTCACCAGGTGTGACACTTATAATCACCAGGCACGACACGCATTGTCACCACATGGAAGAATCACACATCATGGGCGCAACAGTATACTCTGTTATGTCCACGGTACTGCTCATGTCTATAGGCGACGGTTACCACTTTCCATCAGGTGGGCCGTCAGCTTGTTTGCCATTCCAAGTTTGTATAAAAAAATCACAAAAACATATAAATTAATAAATTGTTTTCTTTGCCCGCAGCGCGACGCCCTCAAAGGTCTAAAACAACTTCGCGTGCTGTCCCTCCACGGCAACAACATCTCAATGCTAGCGGACGGCGTGTTCAGAGACTTGAAGTCCATCTCGCACGTGTAAGTAATTTTTTTTAATTGCAATAAAAATAAATTATTTTGCTAAACATCTAATTACAATACATCAATAAATTAAAGTTAATATATAATTCCTTAAATACTAATACTAATTATAAGCAATCCCCCAACGCACCACACCGAGGCAGCGTACCCAAGGTACTGGCAGCATTACCACTTTGGATCGCCAAATTTATCTTTTGGGCAAAGTAGCTACCAGCTCTCGGGTCACCAGTAACCTCGATGAGACGCGCTGCGATCGTCCTATTACAATGTTAGAATGCTATATTTGAAATAAATAATGTATTAATAAAACAATTGAATTTTTTTTTATTATATTTTTTTTTTTTTTGTGGAAGACTATATGTGTTTTTTTTTTTTTAATAATATCAATGTATGTATAATACAGCAACTTTAGATACCGTTCTAAGCAATGTGCAAATCAATTTTTAAATAATTTAAACAATGTATTACAGTAAATAAAAAATAACTAACTAACATGCAATAATATTTTAATCATAAAAAAAAAATAATGATCAGTCGTGTTCATGATCCGTACCCGACCCAAAGGTTTTTTTTATTTTTTATTTTTTTTTTCATACGACTTAGAATGGTAAACAAGCTGACGGCCCACCTGATGGAAAGTGGTAACCGTCGCCTGTAGACACGAGCAGTACCATGGACATAACAGAGTATACTGTTTCGCCCATGATACCCCCCATGCGTTGCCATTCCTGAGGACTCAGGTGTTATTCCTACGCTAAGACATCAGTACAGGATGAACTGATAAGGATTAGGTCAGGTCAGGAACCAATCACGACAGTTTCCAGGGGGAACTGTGTGGAGGTCATTTCGACGAAGTATATTGCCAGCAATGGTTACTAATCTCCCAGTTGCTAACAGTCGCTCTCCCCCCCCCCCCTCCCTTATGGGCGACAGTTTTTCATAAGTAATAAATGCTAACCTCGTTTCCGCTAATCGATATACGCTTGTGCGGTACCAGTGATGGATGATAGGTGGGGACAAAGGCAGCTTAGTTGACCCATCACGAATAATTTTCAGAAGAAACCCCTTGGAGAACGACTTGATAAAGTATTTTTCTAGCAAAAGGTACTAATTTCTCCATTACAAAAAACCCCCTGCTCCTGCTATAGGCGACGGTTACCACTTTTAGTTAGATGGACCGTCGGTCTATTTGCCATTGTGTTATAAAAGAAATATGGCACGCGTATTACTAATAGCCCCTTCTCCTCCTACAGGCGACGGTTTTTTTGATAGGTGAAAATGGTATGGTAACCCCGCCTGCGCTAACAGTTTACGCTGGCGGAGCACCAGTGAAGGGTGATAGATGAGAATGAAAACAGGCCAATTAGCCCGTCATGACGAATTCATCTAGAATTTACCATGATAGTTTCCAAGGGATACCGCGAGGAAGTCGACCTGGTTGGGTATATTGCTAGCAATGGGATTCTCCGTCTCCATTGCCAACAATCCCTTTCCCCCCTTATAGGCGACGGTTACCACTTTTAATCAGGTGTACCGTGAGTCTATTTGCCATTGTATGAGTGTGCCACGCAGCGCGCTGGGCTCGAACCCGCTGTACTGCGACTGCGGGCTGCGCTGGCTGTCGGAGTGGGTGAAGGGAGCCCGCGAGTACGTGGAGCCTGGCATCGCTCGCTGCGCCGAGCCGGCCGCCATGCGCCACAAGCTGCTGCTAAGCACACAGTCGCAAGCCTTCCTCTGCAACGGTACGACCGCTTCCAACACCTACTCCAACCTTACATTATATAGATCAGGACTGGCCCACTCGACTAGACCCGAGATCTACCAGTTACATACATACATATCTCCCACGCCACGCCTGTCTCCCATTACGGTAGGCAGAAACAATGGAACGCCAAATGCTTCGATTCAAACAAACCTCTTTCGCTTCTTCCACATTCATCAATCTTTTCATACACGCTCGCCGGTTACGGTTACCAAATACATACTTCTTGAGATTACAAATGTAACGACATAGTTCAGTACACGACTGTGTAGTGTTGCAGTATTGTTTATTGTATTGGATGTATCAGATGTATCAATACCTCATGTATAGAGTATCCCTTTGGATGGAGAGGAGTAATTATAAACAGTTTGATGGATGGAGGCGCTATGATGATCCAATTATTTTTAATTTGAAAATGTAATACATGTAATATATATATATATAACAATTACATAAATATATAAATTAAATACTGCGCACATGTATTTGATAAGCAAGTTGTTGCTACCTGAGCAGGCGAGCCGCCCGCGGAGCTGGTGGCCAAGTGCGACAGCTGCTACAGCAACCCGTGCGCCAACGGCGGCACGTGCAGCCCCACGCCGGCCGGCGGCTTCCGCTGCGGCTGCGCGCGCGGCTACCACGGCGACACGTGCCGCCTGCGCATCGACGCCTGCTACGGCTCGCCCTGCCGCCACGGCGTCTGCCGCCTGCTCGAGGAGGGCCGCTTCCAGTAAGTACAGCGGGGGGGCGGGGGGGGGGGAGGAGCTCGACTGGACAACGCCTGGCTGCTGTTCACAGGTTATAGGATCTCATTTAAAATCGCGTTCCACAAAATAAACCGACTTCAATTCGGAAAAAAAATATTTATTTATTATTAAAATAATAATAATATAATAAAAATAAAAAAAAAATAATAATCTCTCCCTGAGGCTCACTCCCGGAAAAGATGCAGAAAGCGGTGCTCTCAGATTCTGCCCGCATTGTACGCCGGTTTCTCTCCCTGGGGCCCTGAACCCCGGCCGACTGTGCTTCTGCCGGGCGTTAGTTGTCATCTCCTCTCCTTAAGAGGGGAGATGAGAATTTTCTAGGAATTTAAAAAATAATAATAAATAATTTATTCAGCTACAAAAAAACAATATTAAATACAATTTTTTTTACAATAAAATAATAATTATGTGGTAGCAGCTGAAATGTTCCCCGCTCAGCGTGCGCTGCAGCGTGGTGCTGCAGCGCTGTTTTTCAGTGGGACCACCATTCGATAGGTGGCGCTCGGGAGACTGGATTACATTTATAACACACTGGACCTTATAGAAGATATCAACATTGTATATAAATATAATAATATACTATTTAATACATACATACATACACATCTGTCACGCCTGTCTCCCATTAGGGTAGGCAGAAACAATGGAACGCCAAATGCTTCGATTCAAACAAACCTCTTTCGCTTCCTCCACATTCATCAATCTTGTCATACACGCTCGCCGGTTACGGGTACTTTTAATTTGGCCCTTCTCCAGCACGTCGTACACTATTTATTGTATAACATATAAGGTATAATGAAGATATATAAAATAATCATGTACTCTAAGTGTGCATGTATCAGTTATAATTTGTCTGCCAGATTTACAGTTTTTGTACTGAAAATATATGTGTTTTTAAGCGATATTTAAAAGACATGTCTATAGGTGACGGTTACCACTTTCCATCAGGTGGGCCGTCAGCTTATTTACCATTCTAAGTTGTATAATATATAAATATATATATATATATAATCGTAAATTTGGAGAAAGAAATATTAATGTTAGTTGTATAATTTGACAATAGATGGCGCTGTAGCAAATATACAACGCGATATGGTTTCGTCAGTGACGGTGTTACATAGTCGAATCGGATATTCTCTCATTTCTGAGACCTACCTTTTAGGTCCCGGGTTCGATTCTTTAGTATTTTTGAAGTGGCTATGTATTTAAATATACTTTGTCACTGAACACTGAATCTCTAAATTTTACAAAATTATATTTTATATGTATATATATATATATAATTTTATTTTATATATAAATATAATTAAATTATATGTAATATATATTTTATATATAAAGAATTATATATACAATTTATTATTTCTAATTTATTATGTGTATTTCTATCTATTAATCTTTAGTAATAAAAAATATATTTTTTGTTTTGTTATACATAATTTATTGTTTTAATTTTTTTTTAATTATTTCATAAAATAAAAATTATTTACATTTTTTAAATTAAATTTTTTTTTTATAAATTTCTTCGGAACTATTTAATTTATTTATATTTAAGTGTTCATAAATTAAATCTTATTAAAATACTAGTGGTCTTTACCGGCTGCGCTCGTATAGATAGGATTTTTGAAAATAATATACCGCTTATGTAACTTTCTATAGATGAGAGAATTTTTAAAATCGATTAAGTATTTTAAGTACTCAGTAAATTCACTGCCATATCGCACCCTTCAAATAGAAACACAGCCATGCAAATACAACTGCTCCACGGTTGAAACACGAATGGAACAGGGGTACCCAAGCAAATGACTTTTGTACTTAACTACTATTTGTAATTAACTATTAATTTGAGAAAAATTGTGAAAAATAATGTATCGTATTTAAATTGTATACTTAGTGGATGATAATGGAATGGTAACCCCGCCTGCGCTGTCGGTATACACTGGCGGGGCACCAGTGAGAGATGATAGGTGAGAATGAAAGCAGGTCAGTTAGCGCATCCTGACGAATTCACCTAGAATTAGCCACGATGGTTTCCAGGGGGAACCACGTTGAGGTCGACCTGACAGGGTGTTATTGCTAGTAACGGGGCTATTTGACTCCATTACTAACAATCCCTTCCCCTCTCCTGAGCTAACGGTGTACGAAGGCGGAGCACCAATGAGGGATGATAGGTGATGATGAAAGCAGGTCAGTTAGCCCACCATGACGAATACACCTGGTATTCAGCACGATGGTTTCCAGGGAAGACCTGGCAGGGTACAGGATACAATGAGTCGGTGTCTGGCAGGTGCGCGTGCCAGGCCGGCTACACGGGCGTGCGCTGCGAGCTGGACATCGACGACTGCGCCGCGCACCGCTGCCAGAACAACGCCACCTGCCACGACCGCCTCGGCGGCTACACTTGCCACTGCGCGCCAGGATACATGGGTGAGCCGTCCACCACACACACCACACATACCACATACACCACACACACCACACACGCACACGCACACGCACACGCACACGCACACGCACACGCACACGCACACGCAAACGCAATCGCACACGCACACGTACACGCCGACGCGCACGCACACGCACACGCACACGCACACGCACACGCACCCGCACCCGCACACGCACACGCACACACACACACACCACACCACACCACACCACACCCGACATTTACTGTCAACTGACGACACACTGACATATTTATTACATGCCTGACTGCTAGATCGCCTACTTTTTTTAATGAATGATAATGATGATAAAAGCAGGACAGTTATGTTAGCCTATCGTGACTCATTCTACTAGAATTAACCATAATGGTTTCCAGGGGGAACCGCAGGGAGCCCCCATTGCTAGCAATCCCCTCCTCCTTAATTACTTGTTTCAATTTAGAAAGTGAGTGTGAAGCGTGCGTGTTGCAGGCGAATTCTGCGAGACGAAGATCCCGTTCTGCACGGCGGAGTTCAACCCGTGCGCGAACGGCGCTCAGTGCAGCGACCTCGGCAGCCACTACGCCTGCGCCTGCCCGCGCGGCTACTCCGGCCTCAACTGCACGCTCAACGCCGACGACTGCGTCAACCACATGTGCCAGGTAGACACAGCGCTCATCGACACTTACTGACTTGTTGTGGCGAGTTACCACTAGTTCCGGATTTGTTGTGACGAATTACCACTAGTTCCGAATTTGTTGTGGCGAGTTACCACTAGTTCCGGATTTGTTGTGGCGAGTTACCACTATTTCCGGTTTTTTGTGCCGAATTACCACTAGTTCTGGTTTTATAATATTAAATTACCACTTTTTCTTGACTTTTGTGTCGAATTACTACTTGTTTCGGATTTATTATGTCGAATTGTCTCTAGTTCCGGATATTTTTGTTCCAATTGCTACAACTTCTGGATTTTTTGTTCTTATTATTGCTATGGTTTTTTGTTTGATTCTCCATTAGTTCAGATTACTAACAATAACCCCGAAAACTGATGTTAATTAAAACGGGCAATACCAAAGACAAATGGACAGAACTGCACCATCAACGTGAACAACTGCGTTAACAACATGTGGGCGCTCACTGGCCCGGTTACCACTAGTTCCGGATTTTAGTATCAAATACACCTATTTCCGGATTTTTTGTGTCGAATTACCACTAATTCTGGATTTTTTTATTCGAATCACCATTCATTCCGATTATTAAAAATAACCCCGAAAACTTGTTAACATGGGTATTGGTTCTACAGAACTGCATTATGCTTTAAATATCATTTATTCAATATATAATATCGAAATAAATATAGATATCCGACCGATATGGGCGATATCGAAATAGGTAATGACAATTTCCCGCCATCAGTGTCTAGAGGAACCCAATATTTAATATGTCATGTATAGTTAGTTTGAAGGTAGTTGAATAATATGTTTAAAACAGTTGTTGTCTGACATTGAACTGGTTTCATTAAAACATTACAATTGGTGTGAATTTTTTATGGATGATAATGGAATGCAAATCCGGCCTGTGCTAACGCTGGGGAAACACCAGTGAGAGAATGGGTGAGGACGAAACAGGTCAGTTAGTCCATCGTGACAAATTCACCAATGAATCAATTACGATGGTTTCGGCGAGGAGGTGGAACTGATAGCGTATATGATAGTACAGCTTCCCCCTCCCCCCTGCAGAACGGCGCGACGTGCGTGGACGGGCTGGAGGAGTACTCGTGCGCGTGCGCGGCGGGCTACGCGGGCCGCTACTGCGAGGCGGCGCCGCACGCCGCGCTCGGCACGTCGCCCTGCGCGCACCACGACTGCGTGCACGGCGTATGCTACCTGCCGCCTGCGCCCACGCTCGCCGCGCTCGTGCGTACATTTTGTTTTATATACCAATAGGCTATGGGGCCAGTTTTTATATCACAACAGGTTATGGGCCCAGTTTTTTTTACCCCTCATACGTTGCCATTCCTGAGGACTCAAGTGTTATTCCTCTGTACCTTGTAAATTCACTGTCATATCCCACCCTTCAAACCGAAGCACAGCCATGCAAACATAACTGCTTTACGGTAGAAATACGAATGGGACTGTGCCCAACTAAACGACTTTTGTACAAAGTCTCCCTCTGGTAAAGTTTTTATTTGACAACAGATTATGGGCCCAGTTTTTTATTTGAGAATACGTTATGAACCCCCAATTTATTTTATTTTGCAACAAATTATGGACAACTAATTTATTTTATGTAGCAACAGGTTATGGCCCGATTTATTTTTTGTAAACTTATTTCAAGGCCAGTATATTTTAATTAAGAACAGGTTAAGAACCCAGATTTTATTTCACAATGCGTTATGGGCCCAGTTTATTTTTAAACATTTTATAAAAAGACACGACGGCCATGGAACGGAAAGTGGCTATCTGTACTATAGATATAATACTGCAGACTATATATACTGTGACGCACGCGGTATACCTTATACATTGCCATGTGGTCCCGACATAGAATTAACCACCCCTTTCTTTTCCATGAGTGTCATAAGTGGTAAACCTAACGGTCGGAGAATGGGCAGCAGCGTCCCTCTTAAAATATCGCTAAAGCCCAACTGCGGTTGCCAACCCGCCTGTCAAGCGTGGCAACTACTGGTCAAACACCCCTAAGAGGGAGGCCTATGTCCAGCAGTGGACTGACATGACATGATGATGATGACTGTAAATATGTTGGTATAAATATACTGTAAATATGCTGTCCGACTCGACCCACTGAAACTGCGCGGAGATGTTGCATCTCTGTGCATCTTCTACCGAATTTATCATGGGGAGTGCTCTGAGGAATTGTTCGGATTGATACCTGCTGCTGATTTTCACCATCGTACAACCCGTCACAAACTTAAATTTCATCCCAACCATCTGGACGAGTGGCCGTCTTCCACCGTACGTTTTTCAAGGCACTTTCTCCCACGCACAACCACTCTTTGGAATCAACTTCCAGCAGCAGTATTTCCGAACCGATACGACAACGTAACCTTCAAGAAAAGAGCATATTTCTTTTTAAAAGGCCGGCAGCACACCTGCAATGCCGCTGGTGTTGTGGGTGATCATGGACGGCGGTAGTCACTTATCATCAGGTGAGCCGCATGCTCGTTTGCCCCCTGTGTTGTAAAAAAAATTATATATCCGTACTATAATGGGTTGGAGAAGGATATAGACTACATTATTTTGGTCATTGAAACACATCCCGGCCGCGCGAAGCCGCGGGAAGAAGCTAGTTAGAATATAAAATAATAAAAGAGCAGCTTCTGATCCTCAGGACGATATTATGATGGAGCGGCCGGCGCTCGGCGCCGCCACCGACTACCTGTGCAAGTGCGCGCCCGGATACTCAGGTTGGTTGCTTGTTAATTGCTAGACATAGACAAATAATACTTTTAGGGCCTAATATCACTTTAAAAAAAAAACTGGGCCCATAACCTATTGCTAAGGTTATGGGCCCAATTTTTTCTGTAAAACTTGGAAAATGATAACAGTCGCATATATCCGTCTATTTGTCCGTTTATTAAGATTGATGTTCTCAGGAACACGTGGAAGTATCAATGTCAAATTAATATCAAATACTCAAGTCCGCAATTTCATGAAACTGTTAAAAAATTTAACTTCTAAGTCGATGCAATTTAAAAGATACCTCCTTTTACAGCGAAAACCTATAATAGGGAAAACCTAGAATCATGTGATTTGGCAAGAAGTAATGTACGAATAAAAAGACAATCCGAAAACCGTAAATTTTTGTAGTTATATCACAAAAGAAAAATTTCTTTCAAATATAATTTGTATGGAACCCTCGTGGTCAAGTCTGCTCACACTTGGCCGATTTTTGTTTTCGTCCATCCAAACTCATCCTTGCTTAAAAAATATAAACATTTCATAATCTAACAGCTTTTGACAGAACGACATCTGGCGAGTTGGTAAGTCATAAATATTTTACATTTTATGTTTTTGGTTTTGTTTAGGTCGCTTCTGCGAATACCTCACATCCCTCACATTCAACCACAACGACTCGCTGGTGGAACTGGAGCCCCTCCGCACCACGCCACAGGCCAACGTCACGTTAGGTGAGTGTGGTACATTTTACCACTACACTTAATACCACTACACTTAATAGCACTACTTATTATATTATCACACCTTGTACAACAATTAGTCCGTTACCCAAAGGTTGTCTTGAAAAGATCGCTCTCAGCAATAAGACCGCCTCACTGTACTCATACAACTGTATCGTTACATTTATTTATTGTCTCGCTTATTCCCTATATTGTATGATGCAAATAAAGTATACTCATTCATTCATTCATTCACTACATCATCATCATCATCATCTTCCTGCCTTTATCACAATTATTTGGGAGTTGATATAATATGATTTCGTTCATATTATATTCATATTGCACGTGAAGCATATGACAAAATTCACATATATTTATTTATTTATTTATTCTTTATTGCACAATAAAATTTTGTACAAATGGCGAGCTTAATGCCGTATGGCATTCTCTACCAGCTAACCATTGGGTAAAAACAGAAAGCGTATGAAGGGCAGATGTGGTGAAGAATATGTGACAATTATAGTGACACATTAAGGCAATACACAATATAAATATAATATACACATAAGAAATGCACATATAATACATAAACATTACTTTTAATATATATGGATAAACTAATACATATGAAATATATACATATATATATATATATATATATATATATATATATATATATATATATATATATATATATATATATACATATAGTTAATATATATATTTGAAATATATTATAAACGTAAAATTCTATATTTATTAATATAGAATTTTACGTTTAATAAAATAGCTGTCATTGTTAACTTCACTTCTAACAACTTTAACTGCATCTTATTCAAATTGTGTTAACACGTTTTAGGGTATCTAATGAGCTTGTAAATCTATAATTAACTGTGTATATTTTTGAATGTTGTCTGTTGTGTTTTTCCAAATAAAATAAATAAATAAATTTCTTTTGTCACCTAGCCAGCTAATTACAACTAGTGAATGTATAATGTGCAGTGTTCAGCACGAGCCAGCACCACGGCGTGCTGCTGTACGTGGGCGAGAACGAGCACCTCGCCGTGGAGCTGTTCAACGGACGCATCCGCATCAGCTACGACGTCGGCAACTACCCCACCTCCACCATGTATAGGTGAGCACGTTCACACCTTATAGGTCTGATGAAGAAACAATTGCAATAGCTAAAAACGGCTTGAAATTACAGTAAAACTTATTTCTTTTTTTTTTTTACATTTCGTTGGTGCTGCCTCTGCAGAGCAATTTAGGAACTAAAAGGGCCAGTTCTAATTATCCCTATGGTTATCGGCAAGGCAAAATCGTAATCTTTAGCATCTTTTTCATACGTAGGTTCAAAAACGACAAGATTATACCCAAGGCAAAGGAAGGGGTGACCTGTTCTATGTCGGAACCACACGACACATCTGTATCTTTTATACCACACTAACTAAATACCACTGCCAACAGTTTCGAGATGTTACACTATATCACTGCAATAACACGTATATAATATACCACACTAACTAAATACCACTGCCAACAGTTTCGAGATGTTACACTATATAACCGCAATGATACGTATAATATACCACACTAACTAAATACCACTGCCAACAGTTTCGAGATGTTATACTATATCACTGCAATAGCGCATAAAATATATCACACTAACTAATTACCACTGCCAACAGTTTCAAGATGTTACACTATATCACCGCAATTGCACGTAAAATCTACCACACTAACTATATACCACTGCCAACAGTTTCGAGATGGTCTCTGACGGCAACTACCACAAAGCCGAGCTGCTGGCCGTCAAGAAGAACTTCACGCTGCGCGTCGACGACGGGCCCGCCAGGTCCATTATAAACGAAGGTGATTTTTTTTTCTTTTTATATTACAGATATACTTATATATATTTGTAATATAAAATAGAATATATATATATATATATATATATATATATATATATATATATATATATATATATATATATATATATATATATATATATATATATATATATATATATATATATATATATGATATAGTTTCTTTCATACATACATTTACATTACATACATAAATGTGTTTATGGCGTAAAGTAGTTGTGTTTGCATGGCTGTGTTTCGGTTTGAAGGGTGGGATATGGCAGTGAATTTACTGGGTACAGAGGAATAACACCTGAGTCCTCAGGAATGGCAACGCATGGGGGTATCATGGGCGAAACAGTATACTCTGTTATGTCCATAGTACTGCTCATGTCTATAGGCGACGGTTACCACTTTTCATCAGGTGGGCCGTCAGCTTGTTTGCCATTCTAAGTTGTATAAAAAAAACACACCCACTCTAACTTGGCTACCTTGCTTTACTATTATTATTTTCGTTTGTATAATTAAAATTTGTTATTGGCTGTGTTTATAAGAGACTCAGCATGTAAGTTGTGTTTTTAAGAGCTGTGTATTTTTGTGTTAAATAAATAAATGTAAACATTACAGGTTACAGTCAATAAAAATGCGAACTTATCCCATAGAGCAGTGATTTTCAACGTGTGGGTCGCGATCCACTGGGGGTCGCGAAGCTTCTATAGAGGAGTCGCGAAAACTACCTCAGTAAAAAAAATCAAAGTTTTTAAGATAGATTTGTTAAGAATAATAATATTTTTTTTATACAACTTAGAATGGCAATCAAGCTGACGGCCCACCTGATGGAAAGTGGTAATAGTCGCCTATAGACATAACAGAGTATACTGTTTCGCCCATGATACCCCCCATGCGTTGCCATTCCTGAGGATTCAGGTGTTATTGTTAAAACGTATATACAAATTGACAAAAAAACTTAACTGCTTACCCTTTAACGTGCAGGTGCTAAGGAGTATCTTCGCGTGGAGCGACCCATGTATCTGGGAGGAGTGCCCGAGGACGTCGCCAGGGACGCCTTCGCCAAGTGGCACCTGAGGAATATCACCAGCTTCAAAGGTACGTGCCAACTTCAAATTAGAAATATCGTAGATGTCATTTTGATAAATAAGAGATTTTAATATTTTAAATTGATAATTTCATAAAATTACTGTTTATATGGATCGTCGTAAAATAGATTTTTCAATAATTTTCACTCACACGAACGCTCTGGTCATGGAATGAGCTCCCTGTCGAGGTTTTTTCAAGAGACTGGCATTACGTTCTTTAGAAAAAAGGGTATAGAGATTTTTTAATTGATGATAATGGAATGGTAATCCCGCCCGCGTTGTCGGTATACACTGGTGGGGCACCAGTGAGAGATGACAGGTAAGGATGAATATGCAGGTCAGTTAGTCAATCCTGATGAATACACCTGGAATTCTGCGCAATGGTTTCCAGGGAGGGGGGGGGCGTAGACGACGACCAGAGAAATATATTGCTAGCAACGAGGCTGGTAGTCCTCATTACTAACAATCCTTCCCCTCCCATCCATCCCCCCCCCAAATATAATCAAGTGAATCAGTAAAATAAAATGTAATGGAGGACCATTATTCCCTATTACTAATAACCCTCCCGCACCCTCCAGGTTGCCTGAAGGAGGCTTGGATCAACCACAAACGCGTGGACTTCGTGAACGCGGCGCGCGTGCAGCGCACCGTCGCCGGCTGCGGCGAGGACGAGCCAGCACTGCCGCCCGCACGGCCAGCACCAGTACAAGAAGACGCCGGTAGACACAGCCAGGTCAGCCACTAGGTTTAGAATATTGGACAAGTATTTTGTGAAATTTCATATGAAATATAAAATCATTTATCACACCTGTTATTTTTGATGCTACTTATGAAAAATCACAGTACACAGAAACAAGTCTACAATGATTACTTATTATTATTATAATACCTGGATAACCGAGCTTTACTCGTTTTTTTTTTACTTAGTATTGCTTAACAACGCCATCTATTGTCAAGTAGACTTAGTGTTGCTGTGTCGGTAAAGCAGTTATTTGCAAGTCGATAAAGAGTTACTAATTTTACTTTTATCTTTGTACCGAAACATCGCCAATAGGATAATGGTTTTTTTCGTGTTTTTTTTTTTGTAATATACTTAGATACGTATTAGATGCGTTGGTAAAGGGCTTCCAATAATAGTCTCTTTTTTTCACAAAAGGAGCTTGCAAAAAAAAGAATAGGCCACTTTCTTTTTTTCACAGTTTTTTTATATATAAAAGTAGCAGTAACTGGCTAATAATAGCTAATGATTTGTGTGTGCAGGACCCGTGCGTGCCGAACCCGTGCGCGCGCGGCGGGCGCTGCGTGCGCGAGGAGGGCTCGGCGTCCGACTACACGTGCCGCTGCCGCCTCGGCACCGCCGGCGCGCAGTGCGAGCGCCGCGCCTCCGTCGGTAACACGCGCCCTCCCCCGCCTCCCCCGCCTCCCCCGCCTCCCCCGCCGCCGCTACACACGAGCAGGGCTCGGCGTCCGACTACACGTGCCGCTGCCGCCTCGGCACCGCCGGCGCGCAGTGCGAGCGCCGCGCCTCCGTCGGTAACACGCGCCCTCCCCCGCCTCCCCCGCCTCCCCCGCCTCCCCCGCCGCCGCTACACACGAGCAGGGCTCGGCATCCGACTACACGTGCCGCTGCCGCCTCGGCACCGCCGGCGCGCAGTGCGAGCGCCGCGCCTCCGTCGGTAACACGCGCCCTGCCCCGCCTCCCCCGCCTCCCCCGCCTCCCCCGCCGCCGCTACACACGAGCAGGGCTCGGCGTCCGACTACACGTGCCGCTGCCGCCTCGGCACCGCCGGCGCGCAGTGCGAGCGCCGCGCCTCCGTCGGTAACACGCGCCCTGCCCCGCCTCCCCCGCCTCCCCCGCCTCCCCCGCCGCCGCTACACACGAGCAGGGCTCGGCGTCCGACTACACGTGCCGCTGCCGCCTCGGCACCGCCGGCGCGCAGTGCGAGCGCCGCGCCTCCGTCGGTAACACGCGCCCTGCCCCGCCTCCCCCGCCTCCCCCGCCTCCCCCGCCGCCGCTACACACGAGCAGGGCTCGGCGTCCGACTACACGTGCCGCTGCCGCCTCGGCACCGCCGGCGCGCAGTGCGAGCGCCGCGCCTCCGTCGGTAACACGCGCCCTGCCCCGCCTCCCCCGCCTCCCCCGCCTCCCCCGCCGCCGCTACACACGAGCAGGGCTCGGCGTCCGACTACACGTGCCGCTGCCGCCTCGGCACCGCCGGCGCGCAGTGCGAGCGCCGCGCCTCCGTCGGTAACACGCGCCCTCCCCCGCCTCCCCCGCCTCCCCCGCCTCCCCCGCCTCCCCCGCCGCCGCTACACACGAGCAGGGCTCGGCGTCCGACTACACGTGCCGCTGCCGCCTCGGCACCGCCGGCGCGCAGTGCGAGCGCCGCGCCTCCGTCGGTAACACGCGCCCTCCCCCGCCTCCCCCGCCTCCCCCGCCGCCGCTACACACGAGCAGGGCTCGGCGTCCGACTACACGTGCCGCTGCCGCCTCGGCACCGCCGGCGCGCAGTGCGAGCGCCGCGCCTCCGTCGGTAACACGCGCCCTCCCCCGCCTCCCCCGCCTCCCCCGCCTCCCCCGCCTCCCCCGCCGCCGCTACACACGAGCAGGGCTCGGCGTCCGACTACACGTGCCGCTGCCGCCTCGGCACCGCCGGCGCGCAGTGCGAGCGCCGCGCCTCCGTCGGTAACACGCGCCCTGCCCCGCCTCCCCCGCCTCCCCCGCCTCCCCCGCCGCCGCTACACACGAGCAGGGCTCGGCGTCCGACTACACGTGCCGCTGCCGCCTCGGCACCGCCGGCGCGCAGTGCGAGCGCCGCGCCTCCGTCGGTAACACGCGCCCTCCCCCGCCTCCCCCGCCTCCCCCGCCTCCCCCGCCTCCCCCGCCGCCGCTACACACGAGCAGGGCTCGGCGTCCGACTACACGTGCCGCTGCCGCCTCGGCACCGCCGGCGCGCAGTGCGAGCGCCGCGCCTCCGTCGGTAACACGCGCCCTCCCCCGCCTCCCCCGCCTCCCCCGCCTCCCCCGCCTCCCCCGCCGCCGCTACACACGAGCAGGGCTCGGCGTCCGACTACACGTGCCGCTGCCGCCTCGGCACCGCCGGCGCGCAGTGCGAGCGCCGCGCCTCCGTCGGTAACACGCGCCCTCCCCCGCCTCCCCCGCCTCCCCCGCCTCCCCCGCCTCCCCCGCCGCCGCTACACACGAGCAGGGCTCGGCGTCCGACTACACGTGCCGCTGCCGCCTCGGCACCGCCGGCGCGCAGTGCGAGCGCCGCGCCTCCGTCGGTAACACGCGCCCTCCCCCGCCTCCCCCGCCTCCCCCGCCTCCCCCGCCTCCCCCGCCGCCGCTACACACGAGCAGGGCTCGGCGTCCGACTACACGTGCCGCTGCCGCCTCGGCACCGCCGGCGCGCAGTGCGAGCGCCGCGCCTCCGTCGGTAACACGCGCCCTCCCCCGCCTCCCCCGCCTCCCCCGCCTCCCCCGCCTCCCCCGCCTCCCCCGCCGCCGCTACACACGAGCAGGGCTCGGCGTCCGACTACACGTGCCGCTGCCGCCTCGGCACCGCCGGCGCGCAGTGCGAGCGCCGCGCCTCCGTCGGTAACACGCGCCCTCCCCCGCCTCCCCCGCCTCCCCCGCCTCCCCCGCCGCCGCTACACACGAGCAGGGCTCGGCGTCCGACTACACGTGCCGCTGCCGCCTCGGCACCGCCGGCGCGCAGTGCGAGCGCCGCGCCTCCGTCGGTAACACGCGCCCTCCCCCCCCTCCCCCGCCTCCCCCGCCGCCGCTACACACGAGCAGGGCTCGGCGTCCGACTACACGTGCCGCTGCCGCCTCGGCACCGCCGGCGCGCAGTGCGAGCGCCGCGCCTCCGTCGGTAACACGCGCCCTCCCCCGCCTCCCCCGCCTCCCCCGCCGCCGCTACACACGAGCAGGGCTCGGCGTCCGACTACACGTGCCGCTGCCGCCTCGGCACCGCCGGCGCGCAGTGCGAGCGCCGCGCCTCCGTCGGTAACACGCGCCCTCCCCCGCCTCCCCCGCCTCCCCCGCCTCCCCCGCCGCCGCTACACACGAGCAGGGCTCGGCGTCCGACTACACGTGCCGCTGCCGCCTCGGCACCGCCGGCGCGCAGTGCGAGCGCCGCGCCTCCGTCGGTAACACGCGCCCTCCCCCGCCTCCCCCGCCTCCCCCGCCGCCGCTACACACGAGCAGGGCTCGGCGTCCGACTACACGTGCCGCTGCCGCCTCGGCACCGCCGGCGCGCAGTGCGAGCGCCGCGCCTCCGTCGGTAACACGCGCCCTCCCCCGCCTCCCCCGCCTCCCCCGCCTCCCCCGCCTCCCCCGCCGCCGCTACACACGAGCAGGGCTCGGCGTCCGACTACACGTGCCGCTGCCGCCTCGGCACCGCCGGCGCGCAGTGCGAGCGCCGCGCCTCCGTCGGTAACACGCGCCCTCCCCCGCCTCCCCCGCCTCCCCCGCCTCCCCCGCCTCCCCCGCCGCCGCTACACACGAGCAGGGCTCGGCGTCCGACTACACGTGCCGCTGCCGCCTCGGCACCGCCGGCGCGCAGTGCGAGCGCCGCGCCTCCGTCGGTAACACGCGCCCTCCCCCGCCTCCCCCGCCTCCCCCGCCTCCCCCGCCTCCCCCGCCGCCGCTACACACGAGCAGGGCTCGGCGTCCGACTACACGTGCCGCTGCCGCCTCGGCACCGCCGGCGCGCAGTGCGAGCGCCGCGCCTCCGTCGGTAACACGCGCCCTGCCCCGCCTCCCCCGCCTCCCCCGCCTCCCCCGCCGCCGCTACACACGAGCAGGGCTCGGCGTCCGACTACACGTGCCGCTGCCGCCTCGGCACCGCCGGCGCGCAGTGCGAGCGCCGCGCCTCCGTCGGTAACACGCGCCCTGCCCCGCCTCCCCCGCCTCCCCCGCCTCCCCCGCCGCCGCTACACACGAGCAGGGCTCGGCGTCCGACTACACGTGCCGCTGCCGCCTCGGCACCGCCGGCGCGCAGTGCGAGCGCCGCGCCTCCGTCGGTAACACGCGCCCTGCCCCGCCTCCCCCGCCTCCCCCGCCTCCCCCGCCGCCGCTACACACGAGCAGGGCTCGGCGTCCGACTACACGTGCCGCTGCCGCCTCGGCACCGCCGGCGCGCAGTGCGAGCGCCGCGCCTCCGTCGGTAACACGCGCCCTCCCCCGCCTCCCCCGCCTCCCCCGCCGCCACACACGAGCAGGGCTGCTGCACGGAGGCGCCATCACCAATGCATATATCTGAAAAAGAACCAATGTAATCTATGGGAGAGACCTATGTTCAGCAGAAACTTCAGAATATTGCCCAAAAAGTGAAATCACAATTTTTATATATATAAAGAAACCTACGCAGACAAATTCGCAGTTAAGAACTAGTATCTGATAAATCAAAATGACCAATCTTCTACATATCGATACGGAAACCCTACATTGTCGTTAATTCCCCCAGGTGGCGCTCCAGTGATAACTGAGAACAAGTTGCCTCCACGCAAGCAGCCCACCTTCAGCAACGTGCAGGCATCGCCAGGTGAATATCCCGCGTTACGGTGTCCATTCGCGCTGATCTTCAAAACAGCTAAACCGATTTTAATGAAATTGTAAAAGAGTAACCGTTACGTTTCACGCGAGCTCTTCTCAACGAACAACAACATTCCAAACCTAGCAGTAGAATCATATAAGCTGACGATTTTTTAATGGATGACATAATGGTAATCCCCCCCCCTGCGGGGCACCAGTGAGTGATGATAGGTGGAGATGAAAATCGTGGTGAATGCAACCCGGAATTCAGCACAATGATTTCCAAGGAGGACCACGTGGAGGTCAACCTGATAGGGTATATTGCTTGCAATAAGACTGATACTCCCTCCGCATTACTAACAATCCCTTCCCCCCTAGTACGGTAACTGCTGCCAAGCCAGGCAGTTAAAGGGCCTTTCTTTAATGGGTGATAATGAAATGATCATCCGGTCTGCGCTATATAGGTGATGGGGAAAGCAGATCAGTTAGCCCATCGTGAAGAAATCCACTGGATTTGACCACGATGGTTTCTAGGAAGAACCACGTGGAGGGTGTATTGCTAGCAATGCGATAGTTAGACCGTAAAACTAACAATCTCTTCCCCCAGCGGTTAAAGAGAGAATGAATGTTGCAGCGTCGCCAGCAGTGAAGCAGGAGTTGCCGGCGGAGCACGCGCCACCTGGCGGCGGCTGTAGAAAGGTATGCACTGCTACGTGGCTTCATCATCACCGTCATTATCATAATAATAATATTCGAAGTGGTTACCAACGCAATAACAGTGGCATTTCAGTTTTATACTGTGACGCCCAGCGTACCCCTCACACACTCCAATTCTTAAGTGCTACCCACTCTCGAGATCTTCACTCCACTTCTAATTAGGGTTATGCGACTTTACTAATCCGACCACTAATAATTCGGATTATTCGAACGATTTGAATTGATATGATTTGAAAATCATACCAGTTTTTTTCTTCATTCGACTGCTGTTTTTATTCATTCGACTTCAAATTTTATTCATTCGACTTGTTTGTGCTACAAACGTATTATATATTTATTTTAAATAAAAAACTGCACTTCATTAAAAGTCTGCATTTTTTCCATATAAGACAATTTTAATTATTTTTAATTTTACATAAAGTGTTGAAACAATGTTTCATTCAAAACTAATAAAAATAATTTCTCTTAACACCACGACTACTATTTTTATTTATTCCACTACTATTTTTCTTCAGTTTGTTTGAGTTAATTTAGTTTGATTAAGTAATTTAGTTTGATTATTAATCAAGTTAAATAAATTTGATTAAGTTAAACAAGTTTGATTAAATTAAATCAGTTTGATTAAGTTAAATTAGTTTGATTAAGTTAAATCAGTTTGTTTGAGTTAATTTAGTTTGATTAAGTTAATTTAGTTTGATTATTTTTATAAAATTAAATAAATTAGTTAAATAAATTTGATTAAGTTAACTTAGATTGATTATTTTAAATCAGTTTGATTATTTTAAATCAGTTTGATTAATTTAAATCAGTTTGATTAAGTTAAATCAGTTTGATTATTTTAAGTCAGTTTCATTAATTTAAATCAGTTTGATTAAATTAAATTAGTTTGATTAAGTTAATTTAGTTTGATTATTTTAAATCAGTTTGATTATTTTAAATCAGTTTGATTATTTTAAATCAGTTTGATTATTTTACATCAGTTTGATTAAGTTAAATCAGTTTGATTAAGTTAAATCAGTTTGATTAATTTAAATCAGTTTGATTAAATTAAATCAGTTTGGTTACGTTAAATCAATTTGATCAAGTTAAATCAGTTTGTTTAAGTTAAATTAGTTTGATTAAATTAAATCAGTTTGATTAAAAGTTAAATCAGTTTGTTTGAGTTAATTTAGTTTGATTAAGTTAATTTAGTTTGATTATTTAAAATCAGTTTGATTAAGTTAAATAAATTTGATCAAGTTAAATCAGTCTGTTTAAGTTAAATTAGTTTGATTAAATTAAGTCAGTTTGATTAAGTTAAATCAGTTTGTTTGAGTTAATTTAGTTTGATTAAGTTAATTTAGTTTGATTATTTTAATCAGGTTGATTATTCTAAATCAGTTTGATTAATTTAAATCAGTTTGATTAAGTTAAATCAGTTTTTTTTCAAATTAAGTCAGTTTGATTAAGTTAAATCAGTTTGATTAAGTTAATTTAGTTTGATTATTTTAAATCAGTTTGATTAAGTTAAATAAATTTGATTAAGTTAAATCAGTTTGATTAATTTAAATCAGCTTGATTAATTTAAATCAGTTTGATTAAGTTAAGTCAGTTTGATTATTTTAAATCAGTTTGATTAATTTAAATCAGTTTGATTAAGTTAAATTAGTTTGATTTAGTTAAATCAGTTTGATTAAGTAAAATCAGTTTGATTATTTTAAATCAGTTTAATTAATTTAAATCAGTTTGATTAATTTAAATCAGTTTGATTAAGTTAAATCAGTTTTTTTCAAATTAAGTCAGTTTGATTAAGTTAAATCAATTTGATTAAGTTAATTTAGTTTGATTATTTTAAATCAGTTTGATTAAGTTAAATAAATTTGATTAAGTTAAATCAGTTTGATTAATTTAAATCAGCTTGATTAATTTAAATCAGTTTGATTAAGTTAAATAAATTTGATTAAATTAAATCAGTTTGATTAATTTAAATCAGCTTGATTAATTTAAATCAGTTTGATTAAGTTAAATCAGTTTGATTATTTTAAATCAGTTTGATTAATTTAAATCAGTTTGATTAAGTTAAATTAGTTTTGATTAACTTAAGTTTGATCATTTTAAATCAGTTTGAATAATTTAAATCAGTTTGATTAATTTAAATCAGTTTGATTAAGTTAAATCAGTTTTTTTTTTAAATTAAGTCAGTTTGATTAAGTTAAATCAGTTTGATTAAGTTAATTTATTTTGATTATTTTAAATCAGTTTGATTAACTTAAATAAATTTGATTAAGTTAAATCAGTTTGATTAATTTAAATCAGCTTGATTAATTTAAATCAGTTTGATTAAGTTAAGTCAGTTTGATTATTTTAAATCAGTTTGATTAATTTAAATCAGTTTGATTAAGTTAAATTAGTTTGATTATTTTAAATCAGTTTGATTAAGTTAAGTCAGTTTGATTATTTTAAATCAGTTTAATTAATTTAAATCAGTTTGATTAATTTAAATCAGTTTGATTAAGTTAAATCAGTTTGATTAAGTTAATTTAGTTTGATTATTTTAAATCAGTTTGATTAAGTTAAATAAATTTGATTAAGTTAAATCAGTTTGATTAATTTAAATCAGTTTGATTAATTTAAATCAGTTTGATTAAGTTAAATCAGTTTGATTAATTTAAATCAGCTTGATTAATTTAAATCAGTTTGATTAAGTTAAATCAGTTTGATTATTTTAAATCAGTTTGATTAATTTAAATCAGTTTGATTAAGTTAAATTAGTTTGATTATTTTAAATCAGTTTAATTAATTTAAATCAGTTTGATTAATTTAAATCAGTTTGATTAAGTTAAATCAGTTTGATTAAGTTAATTTAGTTTGATTATTTTAAATCAGTTTGATTAAGTTAAATAAATTTGATTAAGTTAAATCAGTTTGATTAATTTAAATCAGTTTGATTAATTTAAATCAGTTTGATTAAGTTAAATCAGTTTGATTAATTTAAATCAGCTTGATTAATTTCAATCAGTTTGATTAAGTTAAATCAGTTTTTTTCAAATTAAATCAGTTTGATTAAGTTAAATCAGTTTGATTAAGTTAAATTAGTTTGATTTAGTTAAATCAGTTTGATTAAATTAAACCAGTTTGATTAAGTTAAATCAGTTTGTTTGAGTTAATTTAGTTTGATTTAGTTAAATCAGTTTGATTAAGTTAAATCAGTTTGATTATTTTAAATCAGTTTAATTAATTTAAATCAGTTTGATTAAGTTAAATTAGTTTGATTTAGTTAAATCAGTTTGATTAAATTAAATCAGTTTGGTTACGTTAAATCAATTTGATCAAGTTAAATCAGTTTGTTTAAGTTAAATTAGTTTGATTAAATTAAATCAGTTTGATTCAGTTAAATCAGTTTGTTTGAGTTAATTTAGTTTGATTAAGTTAATTTGATTAGTTTGATTATTTTAAATCAGTTTGATTATTTTAAATCAGTTTGATTATTTTAAATCAGTTTGATTAATTTAAATCAGTTTCAATATTTTAAATCAGTTTGATTAAGTTAAATCAGTTTTTTTAAATTAAATCAGTTTGATTAAGTTAAAATAGTTTGTTTAAGTTAAATTAGTTTGATTAAGTTATATCAGTTTGATTAAGTTAGTTTGATTAAGTTAAGTTTGATTAAGTTAAATCAGTTTGATTAAGTTGTTTAAGTCGATAAGAACATAGCCGAGTCGACCCGAAAGCTGTCGTTTTTTTTATTAATGGGCAAGAATGTTGCTAATTTATATTTAGTAAAAGTTACCAATTCTGTTATCATTCCAGATCTAAGTTGTTATGCCTTCGTACTGTGTGATTTCATTTCTCGTTATATAAACACGTGTTGTCTTCAGGAGGCGACCCGCGAGTTCATCTCGGAGGGGTCGTGCCGCAGCCGGCGGGCGGTACGTGGCGCTCGCTGCACTGGCAGTGACCGCGGGGGGTCAGCTCGCGCCGCGTGCGGACGTGGCCTCTGCTGCGCGCCCAGGAAGACCAAGAAGAGGAAGGTCAGCAGTAGTGCATGCTTATAATAACATATAATAACATATAAGACGATGTAGTGGGTATCAAGTAGTCTAAATAGCATATACATATATATATATATATATATATATATATATATATATATATATATATATATATATATATATATATATATATATATATATATATATATATATATATATATATATATATATATATATATATATATATATATATTATTAAAGAATGATGTTATTAAGAAATGATGGATTCACTATACAAACTTTCGTCCCCTCAAAAAGTGTCCTATGTCTTTTCTCAATATTCTATCAATTTACTGAAATTCATCAAAACCCAGTATTTTTAAGCGTGAAAAGTAACAGACAGATAATAAGAGAAGAGAGTTAATTCGCATTTATAATATATTTTTAAATTTTTTTTTATTTTCAGATCCGGCTAGTTTGTGCGGACGGCACGCGTTACACCAAAGAAATAGAGATAGTACGCAAGTGTGCGTGCGGTAAGAAGTGTCCGCGCCAAACCAACCCCTTCCTGCATTAGGCGCCACTAAAACGCCGGATCACAATACAAGCTCACTTACCTAATAGATAAGATATTAATCATCCACAGATAAAAAAAAAACGCGAAAACGCAAACGTCAGTTTGACAGATCGAAACAGGAGGGCAAAGGTACAACGCTGTACAACCTAATCTTTTACAATTTAAACGTGACGAGCACAGGCAAAAAGGAGAAAGTTTTTTTTTAATAAAACTTTTTTAAATTGTAATGACATATAACAAGGCCATCATACAAAAATTTACGTAAAAATAAGATTTATTAGCTATTTCTAAATAAGTTTTACATACCAATACATACATGTACAAATACACTTAAACCTATTCACAATAGATGGCGCCTTCAACGCAATTTGTAAAAAAGTCGATATAAAAGTCGACACAATACCTAACACTATAATCCCTTTGTACCAATAATATACACATAGACAATAATCGCAATGAATTTGTATCGTTTTTTTTTTTTAACTTGGCAAACATTTGTCTTTGTCGTGTAGAAATTTAAAACTTGAAATTCGTAAGTGGAATAATAAAGAATTGTAGTTTTTTTTTTTTTTAGTAACATGGGTTTAAGAAAAAGTTATACAGTGTGAAAAAAAAAACTTTTTCAAATACATAACCTTTACACCTTCATATTTAGTGTCAAAACAGACTGATTTTAATGCAGTTTTCAATATTTTCATAAATATTTCTTAGCTGTGTTCTATGAAAATCTACGACAGATTGTTTTAATAGAATGTTCGAGTCTGATTAAAAATATCAAGAATTCTTTAATCTTGTAAAAACATAACAATAACGAAACATAACCACCTATGTATTTCAAGTTTTTTTTTTTTTTTTCCTAATATAAGGAAGTAGATGACCATAATGTATCGAATTTATGGAATATAAGATTATACACAGATGTAGTCACGGCCTAACATGTAGTCGGTGTAGATTCGGACTTAGGTGTCGGGGGGAATGTAGACGTAACCTCATTTATAAAGAGTGTAGTCAAATTATTTGCCAGTGTTGAAAATTATAGGATATAAACATTAAGGGATATGATTTTATATATATTTTTTTAATTTGTTGACTTAAAGTCACTATATCTTTTTGTCTTTGACGTGTAGGACGATTTAAAAAGTATAGTTTTTTTTTTTTTTTATCGCTGATACAAAGGAAAGGTAAAAAGTATAAACGACATATCTGATACGAAATAAAATAAAAACTTGAAATTAATCTTCAATTTAATTTAATAATATACACATAATTTTTTTTTAATAAAAAACTTATTGGGCATGAAGTTTAAAGATTTATTTAAAAACATCTACTCTCTCGTAATGTCTGATGGGGTTGCCAGAAAATATGCGAATTTTCAACACTGTCAAATAATTAAAACACATTAAAAATTAATAATTAAACGTTTTCTATATGTACCTAACATCTTTTACTTAATATACCTATTACAATATACATAATTAGAATATATTATGTACCTAGTATTAAATTCTGCGGTAGTATAATAACTTTAAGTTTTTTTTTAGTCGGACATTATTTATTTAGTATGGAGACGCGAATACACTGTACCTACCTACAATGGAATAATTTTAATGGGAAAATATTTGAGCGTAATATATTTAATATTGCTACAGATCACCTTACTTATGGTATTTTAGTAAATATATTTCGTTACTGAAAATTATTTAAAAAAAAAGCAGATATTTTTTTTTTTTATTAAACAATATAACTTGTGTTCATTTGATGTAATTATATAAAATATTTATTATTATTGGTATTATATAGTTGTTTAGTATTATTAAATGTAGATTTTAATATTTAAGGCATATTTTATGACTATTTGAAATTTTATTTAAATAAGTCATAACGATTTTGACATAGACAATTTTTCTACAATTTTTTTATTTTTATTTAATTACTTATTTTAAACGAAACGACAAATTATCATATTGAAGACTAGGCAGCGTGGTCTCCGACCGTAGCCTGTTCCACAATGGAAGAAACGTACTAAAAAAAAAATTAAACGAAACAAGTTTTACCTCCAAAATTATAAATGAAGAATATGTCATTGATAACTTCTAACTTCGATATGTGAGGCTTATTAATAATTAAAGAGACCTCTTTACCTATAAATATTAATAAGTATATTATAATAATATTACAAATAATAATTATTGAAGTAAACTTAAAAATAAACATTTTAAAATAGTCACTTTTTCTATAAATCCACCACCCGGTTCGGTATGCAATTTCAGCTTAGAAGAACGGGAGAGAAACACAGCTGTTGCTTTTTAAAAATAAAAGTTAATAAAAGAAAGAAAATAAAAAGCTACAATCCATCACAGTATTCTCGATTTGAATTCTTAATTTATTCATCCATTTTACTGACAGACTGTTTAGTATTTTTGGAGGTAAATGTCTTTTTGACAATCAAATCAGAATTAATTAATCTATGGTTTAACGGCTTTGGGTACCAGCCTTATATGTGTCTATAAAAAATATACCATATACAAAATTGAGTCTATTCTTGCCAGCTCTCTTGTCTAGATACAATTTACAAATATGATAGTAAGATAATAGTATAGTTGTTGTATTTACACAAAAAAAAAACCAATCAAAATATGGGTATTTTACACGTTACTGTAGCGTTTAAAAGCAGTAAGACTTAACTTGGATAAGGATTCGTGTTTATAAATGAAGTAGTGCTTTTTTATAACCGGCCTAAACCCAAGATACGTTGACATTTCGTGTTATAGCACTGTGCAGGTGGCAGTTGTACATTGAAATCGTAGAAAAAAAAATACTAAAGGTTGAATTATTTATAGATTCAACATTTTTTTTTTTTTTGCAATTATATGGCACAGACAAACGGTAAAAGAAACGGGATATCCAAAAGGAACGAACAGAATTTCAGTATTAAGGAATCATAGTTTGATGTTGGAAGGTGGAAAGTATTATTGGATTGATATCGACTCCAAATATTTCACTAGTTTTTTTTTTTTTTTTACAGTGTATACCAAAATACGCGGTCACGTCACAGCCGCTCATGATTAAGGATCACGAATTGATTTCGAAACCAGTTGAGATTTCTCGATCTAATTACACGTAAGTTAAAATACTAAAATGTCCGCTGTCACCCGCACACTACTACAACGTGCAGAATAATACATATAAGTTATTGTAATTCATATCATACAGCTCTTAACTGAGAAAATCTTTTTTGTATAAAAATATATATTTAATCATAAATTATTGCAGTTTCGTTGCATAAACAGCTTTAGGCGTTATTGTAAATTATTAGAGTTAATTCTATTATTAGATTAAGCATATTTTACACGATTAATTTAATGCATTCCGTATTTATTCGAATTTCTACCAAATTGGTAGAAAGATATGGTAACACTGTAAACAACGCATTTATCGACCTAACTTATTACGTCAGTATTAAAGATTTTATTATTATAATGCAATTTAGAGAAGAATCTATCAGGAATGTGGAAATGCCATTTCTCATCAATGTTGCCATGTCATAAAATAATAGTTTTTGGTAGATTTTTCTTGAATTTATGTAGTGTAAGTAAATGTTTAAGATGTACTCGAACTGACGCGGAATGTTTAGTGAAACAGCTCGGCGTCGGTTCGGCTGCGCCGTTATCGATTAAGCTTTAAGTTACGTACCTAGATGTGTTGCTACCGAGTGAAGTGCCGCCCGGCGTTGCATGCGCTTTTTATGGAATAATTATAAATAATATTGTAATAAATAATGCCATTTATAATTTATTTGATGTAATAAAAGACGATGTTAGATAAATTTGTTTTTTTTTTTTTATTTTTTACCCTTGGCAACCCTCGAAAAATATTACTGCAGCCCGGTTGTTCACTCGAATATCAATGTATGTTTTGATGCGATTCTTTTCTGACGTATAGCTCTTGTGATATTCCCTTTAAACTAGAATGTGCATAATGGGGGGGGGGGGGAGCGTACTGTAACAGCGGGAGCGCTGGGAATAATAATAGGGACTAGTGTACTATTGCTAGCAACGAGGTTTGAAAGCAACATACCCTCCTGATTGACTTTGTGGTCCTACCTACCTGCTTTCATCTTCACCTATCATTCCTGATGCTCCGTTAACGCAGGCGGAGTTACCATTCCATTATCACCTATTAAACCTTTGCTATGTGGGGGGAAAGGGATTGTTAGTAGTGGAAACTGAGAATCCCATTGCTAGCAATATACCCAACCAGATCGACCTTCTCGCGGTTCTCCCTGGAAACTATCATGGTTAATTCCTTGTGAATTGATCATGATGCGCTAACTGGCCTGTTTTCATTCTCATCTATCACCCTTCACTGGTGCTCCGCCAGCGTATCCCGTTAGCGCAGGCGGGGTTACCATACCATTTTCACCCATCAAAAAAAACCCTTGCATGTAAAATAATATCATAAAAAAGTAAATCTTAATTTGGTTTGTAATGAATTAACTAAAATAATCGATTTAAAAAAAATCTCTCAAGTGATTTTTAAAAATTTATAAATCATTTTTTTAACTATCTATCCGTTATGTACCCATGCAAAACCGGGACAAGTCACTAGTAGAATATACTTTTTTTTTTAATGGATGTCATTGAAATGGTAACCCTGCCTATCAGTGTACACTAGCGGGGCACCAGTGAGGGATGATTGGTGAGAATGAAAAGGCCCAGTTAGTCCACCGTGACGAATTCAACGATAAATTAGTCACAGTTATAGTTTACAGGGAAAACCGCGTGGAGGTCGACCTGATAAGGTATATTGATAGCAATGAGTACTAACTTACTAACAACACCCATTACTAACAATCCCTTTCCCCCAGTAAAATGTACTAGGATTATATTACTTTTTTTCCCCGTACGGCCTCGCCATAGAATAGACTAGCCCTTCCATTCCCATGAGAGCCGCAAGAGGCGACTAAGAGAACTTAACGGTCGAAGGATAGGCAGTAGCGTTCCTCTTAAAACATCAGAGTCTAACTGCAGTTGCTATCCCACCTGCCAAGCGTGGCAACTACTGGTAAAATACCATTGATGGGCGAGAGCTATGTTCAGCGGTGGACAGTTGACGGTTTTCTAATGGTATGACGATACTACTGTTTCGATCCTCTCATTCTCAGCCAGTAGCCATACTCTGTCCAGTGACAGCTGTATGCGCATGTCAGTATGGGAAGCTCGACATTTCACGTCATATTTACCAGAGGGAGACTGTACAAAAGTCGTTTGCTTGACCACCTCTGTCCCATTCGTGTTTCAACCGTGAAGCAGTTGTGTTTGCATGGCTGTGTTTCGGTTTAAGGGGTGGGATATGGCAGTGAATTTACAGGGTACAGAGGAATAACACCTGAGTCCTCAGGAATGGCAACGCTTGGAGGTATTATGGGCGAAACAGTATACCCTGTTATGTCCGTGGTACTGCTCATATCTATAGGCAATGATTTCCACTTTCCATCAGGTGGGCCGTCAGCTTGTTTGCCATTCTAAGTTGTATAACAAAAAAAAACCTCATATGCACTATTAACATATGCTGGCTAGGTAAATGACTAATTATAGGTGCGAATGAAATCAGATTTTTCAGCCCATAGCGATAAATTCGAAATTAAGAACAATTATAACAAACGTGTGGCAATGTCGGTCAATTTTTAAAAACAATTGAATTTTTTTAATGTTTCTTATGGATTATTTAAAAAGCGTTTCGCTAGCAAACTAAAATATGGATCATGCAATAATATTCTTATTGAGCTGTCAGTGAAAAATTGGGCATTAATGACAAATACGTATGCCCCTGCCCCTGCCCCAAAAATTAATGTAATTCTATTAGCACCTGTGCACGATCGCTATGCACCTACAGTTGATTCTAAACTTAATAAAGTGGTATCCTTAGATATAGAGGTAGGGATTATTGGTAACGAGGACTAGCGCCTCCATTGCTAGCAATATATCCTGTTATGTCAATCTCTACACAGAAGTAGTTGGTTGGCCTTCAAAAAAACCTCATTTGACAAGACTCGTTACTAGTTGGTTAAGTTAATATTCAACTTTTATATGTGCATCATGTTGCGACTTGGGGTTGGCCTTTGGCCACCCCAGCCGATACTATAATCCTATAAGCCGATACACTCAGACACTAGACAATCAGACACTCAGACACTAGACACTCAGACACTAGACACTCAGACACTAGACACTAGACACTCAGAAACTCAGACACACAGACGCTCAGACACTAGACACTAGACATTCGAACACTAGACACTAGACACTCAGACACTAGACACTAGACACTAGACACTAGACACTAGACACTCAGACACTAGACACTCAGACACTAGACAATCAGACACTCAGACACTAGACACTCAGACACTAGACACTCAGACCCTAGACACTAGACACTCAGAAACTCAGACACACAGACGCTCAGACACTAGACACTAGACATTCGAACACTAGACACTAGACACTCAGACACTAGACACTAGACACTAGACACTAGACACTAGACACTCAGACACTAGACACTCAGACACTAGACAATCAGACACTCAGACACTAGACACTCAGACACTAGACACTCAGACCCTAGACACTAGACACTCAGAAACTCAGACACACAGACGCTCAGACACTAGACACTAGACATTCGAACACTAGACACTAGACACTCAGACACTAGACACTAGACACTAGACACTCAGACACTAGACACTAGACACTAGACACTCATACACTAGACACTCAGACACTAGACACTCAGACACTAGACACTAGACACTCAGAAACTCAGACACACAGACGCTCAGACACTAGACACTAGACATTCGAACACTAGACACTAGACACTCAGACACTAGACACTAGACACTAGACACTAGACACTAGACACTCAGACACTAGACACTCAGACACTAGACAATCAGACACTCAGACACTAGACACTCAGACACTAGACACTCAGACCCTAGACACTAGACACTCAGAAACTCAGACACACAGACGCTCAGACACTAGACACTAGACATTCGAACTCAAACACTAGACACTAGACACTCAGACACTAGACACTAGACACTAGACACTAGACACTAGACACTCAGACACTAGACACTCAGACACTAGACAATCAGACACTCAGACACTAGACACTCAGACACTAGACACTCAGACCCTAGACACTAGACACTCAGAAACTCAGACACACAGACGCTCAGACACTAGACACTAGACATTCAGACATTAGACACTAGACACTCAGACACTAGACACTAGACACTAGACTACAATAGACACTAGACACTCAGACACTAGACACTAGACACTAGACACTCATACACTAGACACTAGACACTCAGACACTAGACACTCAGACACTAGACACTCAGACACTAGACACTCATACACTAGACACTCAGACACTAGACACTCATACACTAGACACTAGACACTCAGACACTAGACACTCAGACACTAGACACTCAGACACTAGACACTCACTAGACACTAGACACTCAGACACTAGACACTAGACACTCAGACACTAGACACTCATACACTAGACACTCAGACACTAGACACTCATACACTAGACACTCAGACACTAGACACTCAGACACTAGACACTCATACACTAGACACTAGACACTCAGACACTAGACACTCAGACACTAGACACTCAGACACTAGACACTAGACACTAGACACTCAGACACTAGACACTCATACACTAGACACTCAGACACTAGACACTAGACACTAGACACTAGACACTAGACCCTCAGACACTAGACACTCAGACACTAGACACTCAGACACTAGACACTCAAACACTAGACACTCAGACACTAGACACTCAGACACTAGACACTCAAACACTAGACACTCAAACACTAGACACTCAGACACTAGACACTCAGACACTAGACACTCAAACACTAGACACTCATACACTAGACACTCAGACACTAGACACTAGACACTAGACACTCAGACACTAGACACTAGACACTCAGACACTAGACACTAGACACTCAGACACTAGACACTCAGACACTAGACACTCAGACACTAGACACTCAAACACTAGACACTCATACACTAGACACTCAGACACTAGACACTAGACACTAGACCCTCAGACACTAGACACTAGACACTAGACACTCAGACACTAGACACTAGACCCTCAGACACTAGACACTAGACACTCAGACACTAGACACTCATACACTAGACACTCAGACACTAGACACTAGACACTCAGACACTAGACACTCATACACTAGACACTCAGACACTAGACACTCAGACACTAGACACTCATACACTAGACACTCAGACACTAGACACTCAGACACTAGACACTAGACACTCAGACACTAGACACTCAGACACTAGACACTCAGACACTAGACACTAGACACTAGACACTCAGACACTAGACACTCATACACTAGACACTCAGACACTAGACACTAGACACTAGACACTAGACACTAGACCATCAGACACTAGACACTCAGACACTAGACACTCAGACACTAGACACTCAAACACTAGACACTCAAACACTAGACACTCAGACACTAGACACTCAGACACTAGACACTCAAACACTAGACACTCATACACTAGACACTCAGACACTAGACACTCTGACACTAGACACTCTGACACTAGACACTCAGACACTAGACACTCGGACACTAGACACTCAGACACTAGACACTAGACACTCAGACACTAGACACTCACACTAGACACTCACACTAGACACTCAGACACT